TTGGGTTGAAGAAGGGTCGGGTTGCTTTTTGGGGTGGTTGCTTGGACGCAGCTCGGCGGTCGGGAGAGTGCGCAATAGCAACAAGCGAGGGAAAGAGGTGGGTTTAGATAAGAAGAAAGTGTACGAGAGGAAGTGAAAGAGAGAAAGATTGATTGTGTGCGATCGAGTTATTGGATGTTTGTGGTGTGTGTGTGGTGTGTGTGTGCGTGTGTGTGTGAGTGAGAGAGACTTGGATTGAGGAAGAGGGATGGCGGGGTGGATTGGAGACGGGGGGTGATGGAAAGTGCCCAGGTTGTTTCGGGGTGCGGCGTTTAGTTGGAGGGAGAGGTAGACAAGAGGGAGAAGTCGCTGTTGGAAGCCGAAGTTTGCATGCTAATTCCAACCCAGAGTATCCGCAGTCAGAGAGTAGGTGAAATAGCAAGAGTCGGAGAGTAGGTAGATAGTGGGCAAGGAAGAAGAAGAGAGAGAGAGGAAACAGGCCAGCAAATGGTTTCCTCGGTCTTGTCTTGCTAGTGTCCTTTGTTAGGTACTCTCGTGTCTTGGTTCCTCGTATGGCTGGAGGGGAGAGCTATTGAAGCTTTTGTCGAACGAACAATTCCCACCGGTCGAAGCAGTTGCTTGGAGAAAGAAAGGAAGAAGGGAAAGGAAGAGGAAGCAAGTGGTCAATGGTGGGAAGGGGGAGTTGAGGTACTTGTTAGGGAAAACGCTCGTTGCAGCCCAGCCTGGTGTGCATCTGTGGGCAAAATGAGAAGAGTGGAAGGAGCGAGGACCACGGGAGTTGGTGTGGACTGCCTGCCACCAAAAAGCAGAGACCAGCGAGAGAGAGAGAGAGAGAGAGGGAAAGAGCAAGAGAGATGCCCGTCAAGTCAAGCAAGAGCGAATGTGTGCGTGTGTGTGTGTGCGTTGTGGGTGTGTGGGCGGGTACCTAGTGTGAGGTACTGTCCCTTTGGCGATGGGACGTGAAGGGTACAGGTAGGTAGGTACCTTACCATCGAGCGTCCGGCAAAGTACCTCGGTCAGTTTGGAAATACTGTGTGCTGACCGGGGATGGGACTGGTACAAGGTTGCAGATGCCCCACAAAACGCGAAAGCAGGGTCCGTCGGTGGGATGGGAGATTTGATGGATGGGAAAGAGAGCGACCGCCGCAGTCACGACTCACTATAGCTTAGCAATATAGGTCCCTTAGTCCCGTCGCAGCCTTCCCCATTACTTGAGGTACTTGAGTATGGAACCTAAGGCACCTATCCCAAAGAATCTTCCATGCCCATGCGCTGGCTCAATACAATCACCTGCGAAATACATTTGGAGAAGAAGGCTTCGGAACCTGCTCTCCTCGTGACCATAAGAAGAAATCTGGTATTATACCGCACAACTAAAACTATATGGTTCTTGTCTTCCAGGCAGCTGTGGGCACCTGCTTCTTCATTACCTTTCACTAAGGCACCTCACCTTACGGGTCACCTTACCTGGGTACTAGGTACCTTGCTCAGATACGTACCCGAACTTTCCTCGATCCAATAATTCCCGGGTACGTACACAGCAGCCTGAGATGGCAAGGTCAGTTTTACATGGCAAACATGGCCCGGGCACAGTGCGGCGGCATCACTTGACCGAATAGGAACAAAGTACCTCCAGGGGTCGTACCTCACTCTCTCTGCTGGTCTGAGGTGGTCCACCATTCCTTCCTGTTTCCTTTCTCTCCTCCTTGCTCTCCTCCTTGCTCTTCATCCAATGGCTACCTTAATTAGGTACATGCCTCTCAAGAGCTCCAGTCCGTCACCAATCACTACTCCGTACAGTCTCTTGAATATCCCCGTCCGGGCTGTAGTGGGGGACGGGGGCATCACCTTGCCTTCTTCCATGGAGTCCAAGAGGCTCCATGAAACTTGCTGGACTAACGGATACTGAATTCCATCCGTCCTCCTCTGATTACCAACTTCTCGTTACTTGTTGAAAAAATGACAAGTGGTACATAAGGCAGTGAGGTAAGATGATGTATTTAGACCTCGTGCGGAAAAGCGATGGACAGACTGAGTGAGGCTGAGGCACTTCGACACATTTCATGTTCGTACGGATACTTCCCACACCGAGCCGAGTTATGCTACCAAAAGACGGAAGCCTCACCACGGACGAATGGGCGGACGGAATTAGGGTCTAGAATAGATGACTTGGCACGAGCACATGACTTGACCTCCAGCTTAGGGAAGTATCCGTACGATCAGGCTGTGCCTACCTGTGTACGGCTTCCGGATAGACTTGGTCAAGATAGGTACGCACCTCACTCGACGGAGAAGAGTAAAGCACGGAACTTGAAAGCAGTATTCATATCCAGCTTCCACAAGATCCGCAAGTCACTCGACTTCCGCTGGCCCTTTAGTGCTAGCTGTCCATCCGTACAAAGTGAACGCGAAAAGGCAATAATGGTCTTGCGTTCCATCTTGTCTGGAAATTCCATGTATACTTTCTGCTCGCTGTCCTGCATTCCCCTGCCAAAAGAATTAGCGTCTGCTTACGCTACGGTTTCCTTGCTACCTGTAGCCTACAAAGCCTGAACCGCTAATTGACTGCTTTTCAACTTTCCGCCAACAGCTTCATTCCCGCTTTCAGGTTACATGGCTACACTCCCGCCCAGAGCTAGCCCCCAGAACAGACTGGTCAGGGGGACACCAGTTGAGGGTGAACAAGGGGAGGCTGGTATGGGGGAACCGTTGCAGGCTGAAAGCAGCAGGCCGCCGTGCCCTCCAATACACAAAGTACGGACGGAGTACTACTGTGTAGACCTTGGACCACCTCGCCAAAAAAGATGACTCGATCCACCGCGGAGTCGGGAACCTTGAGCCTGGAGTCTTGAGCCCGAAGCCTGAAGCCTGAATCACTTTGGATAAAAGGGGGCAGGGCTGTAAATATGGACATGGACATGGGCTCGGCGGTGTTTCCTACGTAATCGGGTCTGGAGACCACGTCCCGTGCGCCAAACGGTCTGTTCTCTTTCCTTGGGCAGCCTGCTTAATGCCGGGGTTTGACGTGCGTGGTGGTGGTGGACTGGGCGATTTCAAGATGCGATACCGATTTCACAACAGGACCATCCTATCCTTCAGCAAACAAGGCTCCTCTGTCTGTGCCGTAAGAATACTAAGTGTGTGAATGCCCATGCTTATCGCACGGGACACTGTCCGATGGCGAAATAGACATGCGACACCTGTATCGGAGGGTCGGACAGCTCGGCAAGGCGACGAGACTTGGGCCCGACGCGTGAGCCTCTGTGAGCTTATTCGACTGATGCCAACGACAGCGCCAGAGGTAAAAGGAAGGGCTGGTCGTGGCAGAAATAATCAGACGGCCAGACTGAGTTTTGCCCATTGTCGATGTGCAAGGGGAATCGGCACGAAGCCGTTACCGCTGGTATTCAACCAGCCCATCCCGGGCTCTCGCGTACAGAGCTTGCCTCAATGCTGAACAATACCCTGCGGCTCCGCGATGCTGTATCGCCGCGTCGTGATCCGGGGCATTCGTTGCCGGCCATTCACCGAGGGGGGGGGGGGCTCTCTCGGTACGTTGTCATGTTGTCCATCGCCCGCCGCCGCTGTCGTGGTTAGTCGTCCGCGCGCCTCTGCCAGCTGCCGTGGTGTGCCATGGCTTTCTCTCACATTTCATCTGCATAAGGTACAGGGAAGCCAGGGCAGATGTTCGGAAATAGAGCAACTGCCCAGTACCTCAAAGCCTCGGGCTCCATGGCTTTTCTTCGCACGGAGCGCAAAGTATCGGTAGCTAAAGGTCTCGTCGAGGCAGGGCAGTCCGCGTCCAGTCGCATCACTCGACATGCCAGGCCTGTCGTTGGCTGGCTCAGCGGCAAAGTGGATTGGATGGAGGATCCCGCGCTGGATATTTCATGGCCCGGGGTTGTTCCAGAGGCAGGCCAAGCCTGGCCCGGGCGAGTGTCCGCTGCGAAATTGAGTTTCCCACTGGTGCTCAGCTAGGATATGATCCGAAGCAAAGACGGTGTGTGACGCCCGGTGAGGTGTGAGTGCTAAGTTAGGTTGACTAGTTGAGTGGTGTCGCACACCTACGCATACACCGGCCTGGCATGGCACGGCGGATACGGACAACCAAAGCAACACACCCTTTTTTTGTTCTTTTCTCTCGACGTTTCTGGTGTATTTTCCTTCTGTGCCTGGCTGATCCGGTTTGTGCGGCATTGACAATCAAAGGGATTTAGCTAGAAAACAAGCTGCTGCGGTAGCTTGGTGCGTATAGGGATTGACCGTATTCATCCTGTTTCTGCCCTGCCTGACAAGAGCCATTGCGATGAAATGCGAAACACACGCGAACAGGTCAGGCCGCTGTCGCTCACTCAAATCGACGTGCTGACAGTTGAGGCCGTCAGCTCCAGCCAATGGCAAAGAACTCCGAGGTAGATCGAGACCGATAGCCGGAGAACGAAGTGGCCGTGCTGCTGATAGGCCCCGTACCCTTTTTGGAGGGGCAGCTCTAGCCTCTAGCCTCTGGGTGCATTGAAGAACGCAGCACCCTCACCAGTCCATGGCAGGAAAAAGGAAGAAAACAGTCCAATGCTAGTGGCTGCAATTGACACACGTCTGGAAGGGAGCTAGGTAGGTATTGATGTACCACAGTAGAGCAGAAGAGAGATGGGAGACACTTGGATACATCGGTACCAAAAGACGCTGATCAGGGTTCTCCGTATCCAACACGGTGCCTCGTGGTCAGCCGGGTTTGGTAGGTACATCGTCCGCCGTAGCCCATGGCGGGACTCTTCTGTACCTCGGGCCACTCGAAGAAAGCCGGGAAGAGCAGGTACCGAAGTTTCTCGTCTTTTGTGGATGCAGATGAGTTGTATTGATCTGTAGGTGGCACCAAGACAGCAAGGCGTCCAGACTCCAGTGCGTGTACTTGCATATGTGGGAGGTAGGGGTTTCCACATCGTAGCCAATCCAGCGCAAGTTAAGCAGCCCGTAGTGCAATGGAAATGATGAACGAGGTATCATCGAAGCGGCAAGATGAGGTCAGTCCAGCTGTTGTTCATCGTCAGTCTGCGGTTCGTATATCTAACTAGACTCTGGAGTAAACCGCCTTGGAAATTGACGAGACCTTGATGCTTGGGTTGCTTGAGTTGCTTGGATCGGCTGGCGCATGGTGAGAATGTACGTGTGGCCTGGTGATGAACGGAGTTCCCTCGCTGTGCCATTGAGAATCCGAAGACAGGCCACAAGTCGGGATAGGTATGGAGGCCGTCGTGAAAGCTAAGGCTAGGTAAAATGAAGGGTTCTGGAGGCTGAAGCACCCGCTCATTCCAATCATTGCTGCGTCGGTGGCCGATGGAGCCATGGCCGAATGGCATGCATCTTCTTCTTGTTTCTGCTGCATGAGGCCCGTTTCTGTTCGCATGTTGCAGGTTGCAGACGACTCTGCATCAGCATCAGCGCGTTGGGTATCTGATGGGCCAGCCGACGCTCAATGGTGGGCTTCCGTGCTCAATTGTTGCTCATCTCTGATTCGACATGCGGCAGCGGTTTATTGTCCAACATACGTTTCTCGTCCAGCGTTGAAACCTAGGGCGAAGGATCCTGGAATAAGAGACTCAAAGTATGTCGACAGCCATGGGAACAAGGTGTTCATTGTTGTTCGATATAGTGCCTGGGATGGTGCAAGTACAGCAGCGGCTGAAGCCCGACAGGTCGAGAGGCGCCGACCAGCAGAACTGAAATGGTAGACGGGGAGTTGTATTGAGAGAACATGTCGTCAGGTAAGCAGAATCAGTCGATCGATTTGCGAGCCCGCGGATGCTGGTGGTCTGGCGGTGCTGGTGGATTGGAAGCTGGGGGAGCAAGGGCGTTGTCGCGAGAGACGCCGTGAGTGGCTGGCGAAAATGGCGGCACCCTGCCTCTTGCACGCTAGCGCTGCTGCGTCAAGCTGCAACGCAAGTGCAAGTGCAAGTGCAAGTGCAAGTGCAAGGGCAACTGCGAATGGATAGCGACGGAGTAGCTGCTTGGAAATGTGCAGGTGCAGCTAGGTAGCTATCCAATTCCGAGGGAACTCGGGAGGGCCTATCTGGGGCCTGGAGGTCGAGGTGCAGCAGGACAGGGCCGAGTGCATGAGCGGATGCAAGGCAGTTCGTAGTTGTGTCGTGGATCGTGTGCTAAGGTATTCGTAAGGCACGACTCAGAAGAAGCACATTATCACACCTCTACGCAGTGGTGTAAGTGGTGCACCCTGCTTGTTGTCTGCTAAGGTGCTATGTGATCTGGTGTATGATTTGGTGTTTAGTGTTTGAGACAAGAAGCAACGTGAGGTTGAGTTCCCCGTCCTCGGGCTGTGGAAAGGCACGTGCCTCACATGGTGGAGACACCTACCATCGATGATTGGGTGACCGTGCCACCATAGTAGATCCCACCAAGCACAGTGCGGCGGGTCCCACTCTGTCGTTCCGTGGTGCAGTCGCAGGAAGGTACGGAGCAAGGAGTATCGACTACCTGCTTCTCATGTTCGTGACTTCCTTCATAATGGCAAATGCTGCCTTCCCATTACCTAAGGTATCACTTTATTTCCATTCACCTCCACGGACAATAGGTACCCGAGAGAATGGAAGGCACGATGAACACCCGACATCCTTATCTTATGTCCACTCACATAATGAGGTAAGGTACAGTATCAATAGAAATGTCAAGACTCGAAAGCAATTCAGGTCCAGGACCCAAGCCTGACGTTTATTCGGCGCTGGACAAGTATACCATGTACTCCGTGCTCTATGCCTAGGTCCCTTGCCTAAGGTACCTACTTGCCTTTGAAGCGTGGCCTGCAACGGCAAGACCCCTGTTGCCTTGGTTCTCGGGCCAAACTTCTTGCCTTGTTCGCATGTCTTCGGTGGCTCCAGATGTCCGAGAGGGTCGTCTCTTCTTTTTCGAGAATCAACGCTCACCGGCGGCCGCAACATTGACGACCATCCTTTCGCATCGCATCCACCCACGCCGTCGCCGCATTCCCAAAGCTCGTGATCGAATCACGGCCAGCTGTCATGTCACTCCATCCTAAGCCCGTTTCCTCGTTTCGAGCCCTGGGCACAGACTCCACCTTGTCACACTCCAAGACTCCAATCTGAGGTGGAGATTCGTTCCCTCACCGAATCACCCACAAACCCAAGCATCAAACTTCTCCACGCCAGACTCCACCACCACCACTCGTCGCCACTGTCACACTCTCCGTCACAACCACCACCAGTTCTTCAGCACAAGCGGTTTTGCCCCTCCATCCGCCAGATGAGCACATCCTGACATGGCCCAACCTCCTGCTCAGTCCACTGGAAGGCCATAGCTCGGCCCAGCCATCGACTTTGACAGCAATATCTCCGATACGGCTATCGGTACACTACGGGAAACGGGAAGCCCAGATACACACGGATCCTAACTATGGACCCGTCTCGGCTACGACGAGTGGGTTTCTCTGACTTCCAACCCTGCCAGGCAGCCGACCCGACTTCATATCTCGCCGCCGCCGCCGCCGCCACTGGGGGTTCATAATGCATGAACGCCTGTGCAAGCTATGGTCAGCATGCTCCGAAGTGCAAACAACACCGGTAGTTCCAGGGCAACTCCTCAGAACCAAAGCGACACTCGCACATCGTAGTAGCGTACGGATACAAAGATGAGACAAGAAATGATACGGCTGCACCGTAACCTTTTCCCACTATCGCCGTCTGCTCTATATCTCTCCATCTCTGTCATATTGACTCATTGACTTGGGTGACGGCGCTCTGTAGGCTCAATGCTCACTGGATCGGCCGCTGTACCCGATCAAAGTTGTCAGCAGCCTGCGCCGTCCTCTTAGGTTCCGAGGCCGGCGGCGGCCTCTTACTACAATCGTATTATTTACTTCCTGCGCACACAATGACGGCTTTGCCTCGCTATCAATGGGCAGTCCAGAAACGCGAGACACTGATGCCACTTGTCTCCGCTCGACTGCAGATGTCCATATATGCCCGCCGCCCGTTGTTGTCCGCCAATGACACAGACCGAAACACTTAGACAGAAGCACAAGAGGGTCCAATTCGCTGAAAACCCCATGGCACCTCAATTGTCAGAGTAAGAGTCACACGGAGCTAGCAGGGCTTGCCTGGTAGTACCCGCGATCCAGATCCCTCCACTCTGCCAAAACTGCGTCACAGCTTCAGATCTCTGCACAAAAGCATTTCCTTGCATGCAACGTCCACCGAGTATGGAAGAAGAGAAAGAGAGAGAGCGGGCGAGCATATAGGCGGCCGAGACACGGGCTGACAGACTGAAGATTCTCTTAGAAGAACAGGCCGGGTCACTCACTTTCTCCATAGCTTGAAATGGTTTCCAGCTCCGAAAACCAGCTCCGGGCCACCGATATTTGAGCTGCGCTGGCGACAAAAATGATATCATTCAACATAGATACCAGTGTGTCCTGCGTAAAGAAGATGACTTTCACCACATCGCCCACGCATACATCTTACATCAAGAAGGCCCTGGGGGACATATCACCGTCCTAGATGTGTTAGCTGACTGGCCAGGCTTTCTGTGTATAATCATTGTTCGCGCACTAAGCATCTGCCGAGACTCGTTGGGTCCGTGTTTATCAACCTATATCAAGATCTATCACCGTTGAATCTCACGCCAGGACGCGAAGTGGCAACGGTGCTCTCACCAACATACGAATATCATCTGCTCGACAAAGAGCTTCCAGTTTCTTGCCTGTTACAGTACAACTCACAGCAAAGCACAAAAACCTCCGATCTGTACTCTATTAATAACGGTGCCTACACTAGAGGCACAAAGTCGAGACCCATAGAGGCCCGTCGATCTTATCCAGCCGCCTTGGTCCCGGAGACGCACAAAAAAGAGACATTATCAAGCAGGTACTTACAACCATTCGGTCCTCCATGTACCTCCGACAGTGTTGGCTGAGACCGGAGCTCACTGTGCTTCCTCGACATGGGCCGGGGTCTTAGCCCGCACACCTTCACACGTTGCTGTTACGTCGGTGGAGCTCCAGGGTCGCAGACTGGAATTGGACGACGGGAAAACGCAATGATTCCTATCTGCAAGTCAATAGATGGAGGGGCTTGGCTACCCGCCCTCATTGTCCAACGGCGAATCGCTTGGGTGGGCTTCTTTGCCCTCCTCCAAGGAACCCTCGCAATAACCTCCTGTTAACGACATGTCATGCTGGGGGAGCCCGTCGGTGACTGGTATCCAGACTTGGGCAGGGCCCTCTCGCGCGCTTTCCGATGGAACTCGACATTGAACATATTATTCAGAATCTAGAGCTGTCGAAACTTTGTCGCAAGCTCGCTTACCACTCGACTCGCCCGACACAGGATACGAGATTGAAGGACCCCGTCGCTCTGCGTTGTACAGCCCACACTGTTGAAACGAATCTTGCTGCGACGATGAGAGAAAACGGCTGAGCAGTAGACGCCGGCGATGCCGCCAACATCTTGACAGCGCCCACGCTACGGATACGCTACCGCTACCGCCTCTGTTCACGGCGACGCCCGGACCGGTCAGGGCACAGCAGAGAGCCTAGCGATTTGGGGTATCAACGGCTTAACAAGCCACCCCTGTCCCACACCCTCGTCCGTTGTCCTTGTGACCTCTTCCGATACTTTGTCAGCTCAGGGATATGAGGTTCAACGCCGGCTTACCTGCTTAGGGAGACGGACATTTTATCCTTGGACGCAGCCAGCAATGCCATCTCATCCTTGGGCGTGGTGATACGTGCAGCTGTAGCACGCTTGACTTGAGAAGAAATTGTTTTAGCTACCCAGTGCCAGTCCATCGACGGTTCCAAGTCCCATTTGCTTCAGGCATTCTGATAGCGTTGGCTTCCGTCACGGGATATCGTTGCCGGCATTCTATCTCAGACACGAGCTCCCCTCCAGCGCCAGGTCCAGGGCTTCTTGTTGGAAGACGGTGAGCGTGGCCCGCAATAGCAACGAGGATCAGCGCGGTCACGATTTCTCACCGACGGCGCAAATAAGTGACGTCCCTTACGGTCTGCGTCAGGAACGAATACCAGCGGCCTGGGTGTCTTATTTCAGATGGCACACTTTACGGCTGGCTGACGACGATCGAAGTGCCAACGGATCCATCCATTACAGTCTAAATAAATTTCCTGATTGCATGCTGGGCTGTCCATCACCCGTCCTTGCTCCCTGTCCAACATCGATTGCTGCGAGTAGCTCAGCCCGCGCAATTGGCCCTTGTGCTCCCGATCTCAGGGCCTATGAACCGCGTCTTCGCATCAATACAAAATCTCGCGCGTTTCCGTGGCCCACGCTCGCCGACTTGGTATTCATCGAGAGAGAAGCATCGTATATTTCAGCACGTACCATGCGCTTAGTATTTTCGGCAGAGTGTGGGGAATGGGGATTAGCTCTGCTCAGCACGGTGGAACGACTGCAAGGATTCAATGGTGTGGTGGTAGCCTGGTAGGTACTCACACAAGCTCTCGACGAATCCTCAGAACGTGCTTGCGGAGCTTCCGCCGGCGTAAGCACGAAAGCTTGCTCAACAGAAGATGTTTCTACATACAACTTTGCAAGCTTTCAAAGCTTAGGCTACGTTTGTCCTGCCACTATCAGAGCAACAAAAGAATACTGGATACCCCAGCGGTACAGTTACAATGCAAGGCAATTGAACCATGGCCATATCTCAATCGATCTCGGTACCAAACAAAGGTGACATGAGCGTAGGCGAAGGTCAACCGAAGTCTGCTTCTGCTGCTTGCTACTTGGGCCCAGTTTCATTGACAGAGACAGGCAATTAAAGACAGGTTGCTCCTGTATCCGTAGACAAGGCCGCATCGAATCAACCATCTGTACGACATAGCTTCGCGGCTCGGCACTGTCACCCTTCCCTCGACTGCAGATTCTCCAACTTTTCCCCAAATTACTCTAATCATCGAAGGGGGTATCGGGCTCTACCCTAGCCGCAGGTCAGAGTGCAACCCATCCTCGGCGACGAAGGATGGCCCCCTCCCCCTGAGTCAACGAGAACACTTGCGTTGGGAGTTGCAGAACAGTCCACTGTGAACCATTGTTAGGATTGATAACTCGCCGGAACATGAGAAGCAAGTAAGCTACGGCTACTACTACAGTAAGGGTGCGTATCTCCAGTCGACTCTGGGTTGACAGTCTTGGACCCAAGGCGTTCAGGCAATTGCAAAATGCAATGCACCAGGTGCGCCGAGATTCAGGGCCCACACATGGACAACGACAGATCACAGTTGTTGAAACATGAGCAGCCTTCTCATTCGTCTCACTCTCGACTGGCGTCCTCTGCCGATCCACACTGATGTTGGGCCACTCGGATTGGCCTGTCTTTCAAAATCAGTACCGTCTTTTTGAGGCTGTGCAAAAGGGCATCCGTCCATCCATCGGGCATCCATCCTTGAGCAGCTGGGCCTGTCGGCTTTTCCCTGGTTGAATGGCAGCCGATATGGAGACTGACTTTCTGCAGCTTCAACCGCTTCCGTTGCGCTTGTGTGCCCTTATTTCCGTCAGCCTATCATGTTGCCCTCGCCGGCTGTCTCAAGTGTTGAACGTTTCTTGAGAGCCGGTGACAAATCTGAGAGGAGGACCAGCGTTCCTGGACCACAAGCAGCCTCCCACCATCTTCCGCGTTCGACGAACCCTCCAGGGCAGCTTAGGCCACGCATACTTACTCCAAATCCGCTCACACTTTTCAGGACGGGATGGATGGGCCAGTGAGTTGGTGGGTAGAAGGAAGGGAAGAGCGAGAAGCATCAAGCCAAGCCCCAAGCTGATCCAAGGTTGTCCCGGGCCAATCCAGCCATCGGAGACTCACACGGCACGGCAAGCGTCAAGCAACAGAGGATCCAGGCCAATGTGGTTCTCCAACCCGAGCCAGCCCGCCCAGCTACGCAAGCATCCAGCTACCCTAGCACACGCATGGCGTTCTCCAAACCAACCCCCAAGTCAACGGCTGGCGCAGCAATTCGCATCAACACCATCCAACTATGAGGGACCAAATAGCTCCTTCGACATTCCTCCCGTCGTGAGGTATTAGCCGGCCACCTCCCCCGATTATGAGCACCTGACACCCCTGGTATTAGCCCCGGCAGCGTGTCACCCCTGTCTACCCCAGATTTCTCCAGTTGTATTTTCCTGTTCATGGACCACCCAGGCTTAACAGGCATCTTCGGGAAGTTGGTCAGGGAGCAGGTTCAATCCTGTCTTCAATTTGCCGGTCAGTCCCTTTCCCTTGCAATTATTGCTCCAGTCATATGAGCCAATTGATATGATTATCACTCGGATCTGAGGATATGTCACCTCGGAACGACGCTGGGACTATGTAGAAACACATCCTGATAGTGCTAGCCATCCGGCAGACGTCCGTTGTTGTTTTTTTGGCTCCGTAAACTTTTGGATGTTGTATTGGACTAGTTGGTCCTGTCTAAACCCTGAAGACAACGACTCTACGTGAAGTCGACGCCGCTCGCCTGCATAAGGTACTATTCGAGATGCACCTGCTAGAGCCCAGACACCAGAGGCCCAAAGGTGTATGCCGGCGGCATTCGCTGGGCATATTCGTGACGTAGGTGCTCCGGGTTCGCCCCGGACCCATGGCTCTAGCATCGATTTGAAGGTCGCAGTTCTGTTTCGCCATTGAGGTTTGTCAGGGCTTATCCATCTAATCATGGAGCTAGGCGACGGGGAATTAACGAAACCAAGATACGCGTTTCGTCAGGGCTAAACAACTCTTTTTCTGGTTCATCGGTACGCCAAGTGAGGATTGCAATGCGCACTTGAAGCGTTCAATCAATCGATTTAGCCTGCTTCGCCGCGAATGATCAAGACGAGGTGTCGCACCAACGCCGTGCCAGACTGCCTGCCACCCACCATAAGCTCTCATGTACGGAAAGAATCTATGGGATATTCCGTTCTTAGACCTGTGTGATTGGTATTATAAATCCGAAATCTGGAGCTGGGGGACCTCTGCTGGCGGACGTTGATGGAGCTCTGTTGAGTTGGCTTGCCGTCCTTTCCGAAATCCACAGGAGGTGAGATGCAGTCGCCGAGGTATCTGTATGCCGCGTCTGTCACAATCCGTACTACACTGGGCGGGCGGCCGTCTATGATCTAATTAGCTGCAACAGACGGCTGGCATTACTGGGAGCTCAGGGCTGGCCTCAACAAATAGGAGGAAAGTTGTCGATACTCTCGGGAATAAGTCTGGCATCCGATGACCGTTGCTTATCCGATGGAGGAATCGACTTGGCTCATCGTCACAACTTCATGCACGCTATCCGAACACGCACATATACATACCACCACACCACCTTCTGCTGCTGCTTCTTCTAGGTACCTTAACATACCCAGCAATTTGGTCTCATCGTAGGCGTCACTAACCACATGGCAGCCTGTCGCCTATCCGGCTGTGCTTGCGTCACTGCGCGTACAATGAAGTGACGCTGGAAACCTCGATTGAGCTTGATGCTACCTTCGTCACAGCTTTCTGTAGGATCGTCTACAATCAGCAAGAGCGGAAACTCTGTGAATATTTGCAGTTTAATACGGATCCCCGCTGAGCTGTCATTGCCACACCAAAGTACTTCGGTTACAGAAAAGCAGTTCGTAAACCAGTCTTCGCTTTTTTGCCACGGCTACGTTGATTGGGTCTCTGCTGCCACTTCGCTTTTACTTGGGCCAAACCCGTTCGTGGCTCCGTTGCGTTGTGCCTATTGTTGGCCCACACACCCACTCACAAATAACATGCAGACTCTGGAACTACGCCAATCCATCGTTCCATGTCGCGGATAATTCTTCTTTGCTGCTGCTAGTCAGCGTCGCTAGACAGAGAATGGGCCTGTGTCATGCAGAGAAGGGAAGTGAATTTTGAGTCTCTCGAACGTCGCTGGCCAAGGTCGGGCGTATGGAACTGCTTGGGAGTCGCCACTGGTCCAAAATTCCCGCGCCATTTGTCTTTGGTCCAAGGTCATCGTCATTGGTGGCCTTGAGCAGATGCAAACTGCCGTTCCTGGACTCGGTCGGCTCTCAACGTCGGCTTGGACCACGCCACCTTGACTCACGGTGGGCGGTCTTTGTTCTGGTCCCTTGAGGTTCCTACGGGAAACGCTTTCTTTCAGGGGACTGACGATATCCCGTAGACTAGCAAGCGCCCGTCGCCAATTTACCCAGTCACACACTCGCAGTACCGTTCTTCAGCTTTGACGATAGACGAACAGGCGCCACAGCTTTGCGTGGAGCTATATACTTAGTCCCAAGCCTGAGTCGTCACGCTCCCTGTTCACCAGCCTCCAAAAACCACAACGGCCGTCCCTCATCTTCAGGTTCGGGGGCTGGTGTGGCTCTTCGCAGAACATTCGCTATGCTTTGAACCGAGTTGACGGCCGCACTACGGGAGGGATGTGGCGACGCCGGGCCACGCTACCAGCCCGTGAGTGTGTTCACCGGCCGCCCTTCGGTCTGTCGATCGGCGCCGATCATTCTGCATCACGGAGTAGTTTCTTGGAAGGAAAGAAAAAACGAGTATGTTCGGCGGCACGGCGTTAACTCGGGTGCGGTGGGTGGCTACGTGCAATATCAGGCTCTTCAGACGACGTGCAGTACCTGTTATTTCCTGTATGCAGTCCTGACAGTTTGCGGCATAGTCGAAATCCACCAGCGTGTGGCGCAAGCGAGAAGCGAGAGCGGGTTGGCATTTGATTCCTTCTGGTGTCTTCCAAGCTAGGGTCCTTGTGTTCTCTCGGGTTGATCTCTGCATCTTTTGGGGGTTGCAAGGTGATCTTCGGAGGTTATCGGCAGTTGGAGGGACACGGAAGGGTTCGACAATCTGTTGGAATGGCCTGGCCACCCGCTGATCGCTATCGCGATCGTCCGTTTGTCCGCGCTCAGAGATGGTTCAACGGTCGTTGGTGGTCGCGCTGCCATGGCGAGTGCTGTGACGCCGCAACGTCATCAACGTTTCTGGAGGGACTTTGTTCTGATTGATATAACATTATTACGGCATTGCCATTCCGAGAGTTTCTTGAATGATCGAAGGATGGCTTCGCATTTGCCACGGCCCTCTCGACATGGTGAGATTCAATTCCCAATTGCACGTTCAGAGGTGGTCGGTAGCACAAGTGTATTATTTCGAGACTATATGGGGAATAGCCACTGCCGAAGACGAAGCATCTTCTGAGAGCATAAGATATCTGAAGACTAAGCATCGAAATCCATTGAAGTTCACCGGTACTGCTCGAGTCTTTCCCGTATGCCTTGCTGTAGATTAACGCGTGAATCATGATGATGCGAGGCCCAACTCATGCATTATTACGTTCTTTCGAAGGTACGAGTATCTGTCGATGTGATGAAGAAGAGAATCAATTGGGTATTATTATGAGCAATCATCAAGACAGAGCTCAGCTTCTAAACATGATGATGCCAGGCTCCTGAAAGCATACTACTACCATGAGATGCCGGCATCGTAAAATCCTCTCGAGGAACCGTAGAAACGAACCGTCCAAAGATACCGCCACCAATTCATCAAGACATCAATCCGCACATCCCCCCATCGTGAATCATCCCCCTCGATATTATCAGCCGTCTTACGACTGATCAATATCCATTTCATCAACATCGGCAGCAGCGGATTCGTCGAAGCCAATGGCCGCCAGTTTCTTTTTGACGTTCTGTTGCGATCTCATTTCCTACGTAATGGGACAGTGATGAGCAAAAGTGAAGCCATCGACGTGCAATATAATTACTTGTGCCGAGAGGAGGTTTGGACATCTTTACTTACCTCTTCCACCGTGTTCTTGATCACGTATCTCGTGACGAGCACTGTTTTACCCTGGCCGAAGCGGATCGCGCGGGCGATAGCTTGGTTTTCGACACTAGGGTTCCATTGGAGTTCGACGATGAAGACGCGGTTGGCGCAAGTAAGGTTGAGACTGGTGAAGTGTGTCTCGTTAGTATGTATTGTTTGTTTTAAGGTGCGAGAGAACGGATGGCGGTGAACTAACCCAAAGGCACCAGTGCCGGTTGTCATGATGAGAACCCGCTTCTCCTCGTCCTCTGCAAACTGTCCGAGAATTTCCTGTCTCTGTGACAAGGGACAGTCGCCGTCAATCCTGTGGTACTTGACACCGACCCTTTCGAGGTGTTTCGCGACAAGGCGGAGCGTTCTCGTCCAGCAAGAGAAGATGATGCTGTTTTCGAAGGAATTTAGTGATGTTCGAGGCAAAAGTCACAGGCTAAGCTCTTCACAAGCTAGGCTCTTTACAAGCTAGGCTCTTCACAAGTGACTTACCTCTTGGTTGTCGAGACGTCGTCTTGGACGTCACAGATCAAGGCCTCCATCTTGGTGGAGTATCCCACCGTGTTAAAGTAATCCGCATCATCCGCGCCTGACGTCGTTTGTGCGGAAGCGTCAGGAAGACCCCTGGCATCCAACGCAGGCCCATCTACTCTCACGTGCGGGATCGTACCGAGACCAGTAGAAGAAATCTTCGCCGACTTTTTCCAGTTATCGCACACGGGGCAATGCCGCTCCCGAGAGGCAGAGACTGGGTTCGCCGACGACGACAGATCCGAGTCGTCGAGACACTCTGAGCAAAACACGTGCGGGCATTGCTTCTCGGACGCGTTGCGCAGCCTGTTGAAGCCAAGGATGGGCATGGGCTGGTGACATCCGTTGCACGTCAACTCTGCGTTCTGCCCCAACGCCGAGACGGCGGCCTCGCGCTCATCGAGATCGAGGCGGTAGCTCCGCCGGTGCCAGGAAAAGGGCTTCTGGAAGGTGCCGTGGTTGCAGAGGATACGCATCTGGAGGTTGGCCTGGAAGAGGCCGAACTTGCTGCTCTTTTCGACCTCGCCTACCTTTTGCTTGATGGTGCGCATGAGGATCTTCTTGGTCTTGTCGTACTGGTCGCGCTCCTCGGGGCTGAACTCGAGTGGGACGACGCGTTCCTCGAGGGGAGGAAGGTCGAGCACTTCTTTGGTTCGGCGCAGGCACAGTGATTCCATGAGGGCGATGAGGCGCTCCTTGACCTTTTCTCGGTTTTCTGAGTGTTGCTCAAAGGGCACCTCGATGTAGCGGCGGAATGTGGCTGGGTTGTCAAAGGGCGTTGCGCGGATGAATGCGAAGAGGGCGCCAATGTCGGCGAGCTTGTTCTGGATAGGCGTGCCTGTGAGGCACCATCGCGAGTTTGCGTGGAGCGATCGGCAGGCTTGGTAGAATGTCGTTGCTGGGCGGCGGATGATATGTGCTGTGTTATAGTCGGTCAGTTCATCGACACTTCTAAAGAATTGAAGGTTGGAGGGAGTATGGGTTCGACTGGAGGCAGTGGGAAAGTCAGAGGTTTAGAGAAGAAGCTTGCCTTCGTCGAGAACAACTCGGTACCAGCCAATCTTGTGCAAGATGGACGACTTCTTCTCGAACTCTGCAGACAAAGTATTGTACGTTGTCACGACGATGTCGGAGCCTTTGATTATGTCAAGGTCCTTTTCTCGATTTGGGCCATGGTACTTGATGTGTGTCAGGCTTCCGTCCACGTGCCTATCGCGTTGTTAGAAATGAGAGAGTATAATACTGGTCGCGGCAATTATCACTTACTTTTTAATCTCATTTGTCCAGTTGTAGATGAGAACTGGTGATCGTGAGTTCTCTGATTAGTGAAAAGGGGGAACCAGGTGATTGCCTGGGGACTCACGAGCAGACGATACGACCACGAGGGTCGATCCTGAGTAATGCAGGTCCTTGCTCTTCTCGCTGTTCTTCTCTTCCTCGACGGCCCAGTTACGGGCGTCGTCGAGGGTCTTGACGATGAGCGAGAGAATGGACAGAGATTTGCCCATGCCCATCTCGTCGGCGAGAATACCGCCGCCCTTCTCATCCGGCTGAAGCTTTTGTTTCACGTTGGTGATCTTATGACGATACCTAGGTTTTCAGAATCAGAGTGGTGTCTATCAGCACGCGAATTTCAAGCAACGTACCATTCTTGTCCTTCTACCGTCACCCGACGCCAGAGTCTGTAGCCTTCGTTAATGTCACCAGATTCCCGCTCTAGCATGAACGCGAGCGCCTCCTGTTGGTGCCTGCGGACTACTTAGTATAACACGCGCACCAAGGGATGGTGGTGGCTAGTGATTGGCAAGAGGCAGACGTTACCCTAATAGATCATTCTTCAACCGCTTGTCTCCGAGCTCACGATTGAACTCCCGCTTGTTTTCGATCGAGTCGTACACTTCAATCATCATCCGCTCCAGCTTCTGTTCCCGCCGTTGTCGCCCAGTTGAATGCCCACTATTGACATCTTTGATGAAATTCTCGGGCATCATCTCACTGCCTTGAATCTTGAGGACGTGTGGGTTCTCATAGCAGAGCTCCCGGCGCGCATGATCCGATTTTTGCAACCAGAGCTTCCCCTCGGTCAGCTTGTCCCCAACGACCTTTGCCATAGCACGCGGGCCGTAGACGTTGATGTCGACTTTCACCATGGCCTCGACGGGCTTCTTGGCGCGGCCGATGGTCTCGCGGAGCGCATTGGTCGGGGCGATGGGCTCGAATTCGACACGGGAGTCTAGGGTTAGCAGTCGGGCGAGGGCCTTGCCGGGCCCAGAGCGGAGGTAGCCGAATTCTGTGTTGTCGTCCTTGAAAGAGAGGCAGATGTGTTCTTGTAAATCGCTGAGGGTGAAGCGCTGGAAAGCTATCCTGCCAGGGGCGGAGGCTCGGCAAGACTCGCGCAACTTGGTGTCGATGACGCCCATGTCACCTATCAATTTGATGTCTACATTGTAGAGCTATAATTGATGAGTCGGGGTTGTTCTTTACACCATCTTGACAGAAAAGAGATAGGAGAAAGGCAGGATGTCCAGATGACCAAGAAACTTGATGAAATGAGTTGTGTCTTACCATGCCGTAGCAGACCTTGTCGGCATCATCCTCGCCCGCCGTCGATGAACACGAGTCCGAACCCGTGATGCTGGAATCGGGGAAGAGTGAGGGCGACTGTGTCACGGTCAAAGAATCTTGTGAAGATTCGGAGTTCTGAGGTGAGCTGTACGTTCCTAAGTCGGGCGCCTGTGCAGCAGTTAAACGTCCCCATGTTTCTAGGTCGCCAAAGTCGAAGGATGCGAGCTCGGGTTCGTTGCTGATGTTGAGACTTCCTAGTTGACCATCGACGCCTTGGTCAAGAAAAAGGTCATATATCTGCACGTCTTCGATGGGAGGGTGATCCTCGATGACGGGAAAATCATCTTGGCCGCCCTGAAGGGTGCTGTCCGAGCTTTGGAAGGGAGTATGGCGTGGATGATATCCGGGGTACGAGTAATCTTGAACGCCGCCCTGGTAGGTTGGCGTAATGGAGCCGTACGAGGAGACGGACGACGGGTCGGGATAGTGGAGATCTTCATCTTCTTCGTTGAGAAGTCTCTTTAGCGACATAGTTGCTAGGGGGTTATCGGAGACTCAGGGTAGTTGACTAAGTTAGCCTGTCGATGAGTGATTGAGACTAAGAGTCCTTCTCGGATTTGATTCAGAAGTTAGAAGTTAGTGTCTTCAAAGCTAGTGAAAGCTTCGAATAACTTCGGTTGAAGGAACGAACGGTTGTCGAGTCTATCGCGCAAATGGGTCAATCAATGGATTTTCCCACTGTCAAGTGCTTCTTCTCATGCAGCCAGTGCCTTGAGGGACATGATGAGGCTCTCTGCGGCATGGCAAAAGGCGCCGGGCGAACCATTTTTGACCACATGATGACCGGTGACGTGAGGCAATCGAAGAGGCTACCGTTTGCTGTGCAGTCTCCCTCCTTGAGGCGCAGTGCGCGGACGATGATGAAGGCGATCGTGCTTCCCGTTGGTGGTTCGCACTTCGCCGAAGGCTCGTAGCTGCGCTCCGGACGCGCACAACCCACACCGCGTGCTTTTTCCACTTTCTTAGTGCCGTTGGGGTCCTTGTGAGGGTCCCCTTGAGCGATTTGGGGGCCCTAATTGTTCTAACTGCCCTTAGGGTCATTCTCGCACCCGCTTTGCACCGCCCCCGAAGACCCCCGGCACCCCGGTTCACCGACGGTTGCTCCGCCCCAACTGCTCGGAGTCCCCCGACCGGGGCATTTTCAAGAGCCTCACTAGCCCGGAATGAGGTCAAATGATGGGGAAATGCCCACCTGCCGATGCTTGTTCTCGAGAATAGACATCGGAGAAGGCTCCGGTAGGGTTGAGGATGACGTATATTGACGATGTTCGCGGGATTCCCATGTCGCGGGTTGAGTCTTGTGACGCGGGATTTCTCAACTAACGATGTGGACCACTTAGCATTATACAGTGGAGGTATACCGTACGGCGTAGAGAAAGAAGAAGGCAACTCGTAGCCGGCTAAGTCGGTTCCAACGGTAAGTCGCTGCATATGAACCAACCAAAGCAAGTCACAAGAGTTATGTTGACAATGCTCAACAGCCCTACGAAACAAAAGGGACACTGCAGCAGCCAACGGGGCGGAAGGGCGACTCTGCCCCTCACAAGGCGTCCGCGGGGCACGACAATCTTGAACTAGGCTGTAGACTACGTGTTGGAAAACACGCGGGAACTCGTGCTGGTAGGTCGGTCGTCAGGGGTTAGATGCAGTGCACCAATGCAGGTCGTCGAGTGGCTTGTGGCAGCACAGAGACAGAGACACATGCAGACAGCCTGACAGCGCGCCGGAACACAATCGCTCTCTCTACGAATCCGCAGTGACGCACACAGCAACAGACAGTAGAACTGCAGATGAAGACTGTGGCAGTGGCAGTGCTCACTGCCTAGCGCCTCGCACATCCCTGGTGCCCCCGTTATGTTTGCTGTGCGGGCCTAACGACCACAAGAAACTATTGGATGCCCCTGCCAAAGACGTTGGCCTTGGGCAGGGGTTGCTCGGACGGGGTAGTATTTTTGATATACGTCTGGCTGCCTCTTTTGCTATGAAGAGCATCAGCCTCAATTCAGGTCAATCGCTTTCTCAGTGCGAGCTGTGGACTCGAACATCAACCCCATTCTCATCTTCCTTTCTCCAAAGACTTTCTTTCCTTCTTGATCAATTCTCTCCACTTGAGTCTCTTTCCGACTCCATTTCCCCGCGAGTTTGTTCATGTATCGTTGTGGTTTACGTCGCAACACGGTCCACAACGAACCGGGTTTAGTACACGCACCTAGCTCGTGGGAGCCCGAGCCCCCGTAGCGGCCGTGAGCAATTCGACACTTGTCCCGGAGCCAGCGCCGAGTTCGCCAAGTCCACAACCATGGCCCAAGGTCTCGGTCTCTACCGGGTCCCAGACCTCGATGTCGATGTCGAAGTTGCTCTCAGGATGAGCGCCGATAAGTTCAAGGAACAGTTGAATGATATTCATGTCGACAAGTTCGGAAAGACTACTCTTGACGATGTTTACCGAAGTCTCAGGGACATTCAGTTCCAGCAACAGGAGCAGAAGACCTTGATGAACCTCAACAGGATTGAGTTGTTTCTCAGTGGCATGTACTCATTTCAAGAAGTCCTGGACGATAGGGGCATGGAAGATGTTGACGGTATCATGGCTTTCGTTTGGGGTCCTATGAGGTTTCTTCTTGAGGTACAGGCGCAGCCATGAACAACCCCGATCATCTCAAAACACCCCTGACTGACACATCTTTCCCTCGCTTAGACAACCAACGTCAACGAGAGAGCGTTTGATCACGTACTCGAAGTTTACCAACGACTTGGGATCCAGATCCTTCCTCTTTCAGAGTACAAACAATTCTTTGCAGGATCCGTCAACGGCAGAGCCTGCCTTCTTAACATTTACAACGACATCGCCGAATTTCACACAACCGCATACAGGTTGTTCTCTCTCCGCAGCTCATGTAAGCCGAAACATTCTCCACGATAACCCATTTGCAGCCTTGCTACGTCAGATACTAAACCTGATCATTCGCGCTCTTAGTATGGGGTAAATTACATAAAGCGACATGGAAAGATTTGGAGTCGACATTCAAACACTTAGCCGCTAGCCTTCGGCTACACGCAGAATTCATCCAAACCCACGGGGCTCCTCTTCAAGACCGACATGCCTTTCGTAGCGTAGACTCCGGCTTCGCGGCACCCCAAAATAGCATCTTGTTCGATAATGACGATTTCCGCCGCAAATCCCACCAATACATGTTGGATTACGCATCACTGCGACAAAAGTTCAGAAAGGACGAAGCCCACAGGAAGCAGAAGCAGAAGCAGAAGGTTCTGAAATGGATCGCCGCTCCCATGAAGACACAGGAATTGCACAAGAGCTTCGTCAAGAAGAGAGAACCGTATCCAGAAACCGGACGCTGGCTTTACACCAGGTACGACGCAGTATCAAATTGGATGCGTGAGGACATACCTCAGGACTCCGCTCTTTGGGTCTACGGCAAGAAAGGCATGGGCAAGTCAATTTTGTCGTCACTGGTGGTCACCCGGTTGCAGGAACTCGTCAGGACCCAAGACATCCCGAAAGTACAAACGTGCTACTTCTACTGCCAGGACGCAGACCCGGAACTGAACACGTACTTTGGCATACTCAGGGGCATCGTCCATCAACTCGTCTCCGCAGTTGACGCATCGAACCTTGATGAGTCAAACGAAGATGAGTATGACATTTCGGCGTGTTGTAACAAGTACAATGGGTTCATTCTTCCTCTTTGCGACGACAAAATCACGAACAGTGGTGGCTCAACTCTATCAACGACGGAGGGATGCCTTTCACTCATCGAGGCATTTTTTGAGATTAACCCTCGATTATACATTGTTGTGGACGGACTGGATGAGTGCGCAGGCCGCGTGGAAATCCAGCAGATAGTGTCCTTCTTGGTGGCTCAAGTTTCGCGTCTAGACGAGATTAGTCAAGGACAGTTGCGGGTGCTGTTCATGAGTCAACCGAATCCCGAGGTCAAAGCAGCCATGTCAAAGCCCACCGTCAGTCCGATTATTGGCGAAGTCGAACTACAGGCCACCGATAACACACAAGATATACGGACATATGTGAAGAGCCGGCTGGATCCAGCGGAGTTGGTCAAGTCAAGAAGGCAGGTGAGGGGGAGGATCAACCCTACCGAAGCTTCATTACTAGAAGCATCTGGGAACAACTTCAACCTCCTAGAGCAAGATATACAACGCATCGAAGAAGAGGTTTCGTTACAGAGCGAAGGTATTCATTTCACGCAGGTGAAGAAACGAGTGTTGAGCTTACGCTAACAATGCTACCAGGCCTTTTCCTCTACGCAGTCCTCGCTGTGGACTACCTCTTGAACCAATGGAGTAAAGGTGAACTCCTCCGAAAGGTTTCATCGCGCATGCTTCCTGACGGCATTACAAAGATGTACGACATGGTGTTAGAGAGCCTCAAGGAGAAGATGCTGGATTTGTCTTCAACTCATTGGGACAAGACTAAGCTTCTCCTCGGCTGGCTTGCCTGCGCCCATCGCCCGCTCAAGTGGCACGAGATACAAGCCATCATCGCTTATGACCTTGAGATGGATGAAATAGACTTTGACCTTCGCATGATTCGAAGAGAAAACATCAATAACTTTCTAGGGTCGCTGGTCGAAGTCTTGCCGGGCGATGAGATTCGTCTCATGCACTCAACGGCTAAGGAGTAAGTAGACTCCGACTTCTTGCTTTACTCGCCTAAGTCTATTAGTCCTAGGATGAAACATGAGACTAACCCAGGCTCTATAGCCATCTCGTTTCTAGCAGACTTATCCACGCGAAATCAGTTCAGTGCGATCTCGCCATTCTCTGTCTGCGCTACCTCTCTCTACGCTGCTTTGCAGCCGAAGACTACAGCGTAGTCGAGTTGCACAGTCATATACGTAAAGGCTACTTCTCATTCCAAGACTATGCCATCCCTCAATGGTGCAAACACATCAAAACCGTCATTAGAGAATGCCATGAACTATTCTCACCCACCTTCTACCACGATGCAGGAGTAGAACCAGGACGCAACTTCGTCGGAGAATTCGGGTCGGCTTTGGCCAGGTTCATCTCTGCTTATGATACCGATATCAAGAGGGAGACGCACCCAGAGTTCCCTGAGGATGACTTGTCAAAGTACATCAGCTTGCCATTCTACCCCGATCTCGCTCGCTTATGGAATCATATCTTTACCCATCAGAAAGCTTCCGCCGACGAACGCAACGAAGTCGGCATTAGCCGCTTACAAGACGCCCTCACTTCGCACCGCGAGATCCTGGCAAGTGAGTACCAGCCAGACACGGTCATGTTTGGGAGCGACACCATGGAGACCTATTACGGGCCCAACCTTTTCAAATGCAAGAAAACACTGTGCAAGTTTTTCTATGAAGGCTTCAAGACCGAGAAAGATCGGGACGCACACCACAATCGCCACGATAGACCGTATCCGTGCCCCATCAAGACATGCAACTCGGCGCCCGTTGGGTTCTCGTCCAATAAGGACAAGGAAAGGCACGTCAGGACGTACCACCCAGAAGAGATTGACGGACAGACGCCCTTCATACAAATGAGCAGGAGGGTCGAAACGGCCAAGTTTCCGTGCAAGATGTGCGGGAAGTGTTTTACGCGGAATATCAACTTGAAGGGGCACATGAGGAGTCACTTTGGCGAGAGGCCTTTTGCCTGCCCGAATTGCGGAAAGGCATTTGCTAGGCTAAATGATTGTAAGCGACATGAGCGTATCCATACCAGGAGAGGGCAATAGCCAGACGACTATAACCTCAATATTTCGGCTTGGGCGTTGGGTGTTTACGAAACCTTGGAGAAGGCTGTGCGACTGGATGGACATATCCATAGGCCTTCGGCGTTTTTTTGATCTTCAATTTGATATTTAATTTCAACACACTTGACTGATTACCCAGAATGCTGGTTCTATTGGATAGAAGCCAGCCGCAGCAGTTCTTTCTGCACAGGAATTGTATCATGTGCAGACGCATCTAGTTGCCTTTGCCAACCAACAAGTTGTTGGGCATTTCTTAGTACTTCACCCGTGCATTCATGCGTGGTACTTTTTCGATGGGTGATAGGTCAGGTAGTACGCCTAACGAGGCGATGAGCCACCCAGTTGCTAAAACTAATGGCCTGCATATTCCGCCTCGTTGCCTTCATGCAGGCCCAGCCATGTGTGTGGCAGGCCGCCCATGGACGCCTAGCTTCTTTTTCGCGCGTCGCCCCTTCCCGTATCGTGTTGGTATAGTATTCGTTATCCCTTTCGCCTTTACATAAGTTCAAGGTTGCATAGTATGGTCCTGGCATGTTGAACAATCGCTAGTCGTCACGGATCGTTCATTAGGGCAGCATGTCAGCATCACTCCCGCGTAGGCCAGTACGCACTCGAGGCCGGTCCGAAACTGACCTGGGTGACCCACACTTGAGCTCAAAGAGAACTCGGGGGCGAAACACTATCGACGCGTACTGCTCTAGCTGTCTGCTACTTTTCTCTAAAGATGGCCTGGAGGCGCTCAACTCGACTGCTGGCCTGCGGCACTCGACGTTTGTGCGGTGCCGCTCTCAAGCCATTCTTGGCTGCCCACTGTGTCACTTCATCTTGGCAACGGTTAAAAGGGATCAGGAGAACGACTGGTCTGACGATGAAACCCTTATCTTTCACAATCGCTCATCGATGAAAGACACCAAAGTCTTACCCCCGTGGATTGATATATTGGACGGTAGTATTTCCTCCAGGAAAGTCGTCACTACTATATACCCATACGCCAAGCATGGTACGCGGCTAGAGGAACTAGATTTTTGATGACGAAAATTACGCATTGCAGCAGCTGACGTTGTCTTTAGGAGATCGCATAGCCAATTTTGTTTACCGGAGACCACTTCTTAGAGATGTTAAAAGTCAAAAGGTTTTCTCAGCTGCGGTGAGACTTTACAATGAGTGCAGAAAAAATCATCATCGATGCCGTTACGGCCGAGACGCTCTTTTACCGACCAGGGTCATTGACGTTGGTACTGTCGAGTCACCCACGCTGAAGTTATTCATCAACGATGTCGAACAGGAAGGCAGGTATGTCGCCCTGAGTTACTGCTGGGGCGGCGAACAGCCCGGAAATCTTCTAGCAACCACCTTAGAACGCATGACTGAAGGGATACGAATGGAAGAGTTGGAGCAGACAGTTAGAGACGCGGTAGTGGCCACTCGAAAGCTAGGTTTCAGGTACCTTTGGGTTGATGCATACTGCATTATTCAGGATTGTGCCCAAGACAAGGCGAACGAGATTGGCGACATGGCTCTAATCTACAAGAACGCGGCTGTCATGATCGCGGCGGGGACTGCGGCCCGAGCCCGAGATGGGTTTCTTGCCACTCGCAGAACATACATACCCGAAGAAGAGTTTCGTATTCCCATGTCTAGCGGCGGACTAGGAACTGTCTATCTTCGAACTGGTACACATATGCCTAGGCATGCTATTGACACGCGTGGGTGGGTTCTTCAAGAGTTTATGCTATCGTCTAGGATACTCTTCTTCTCGGAATATGAGCTCTTATGGCAGTGTCAAGAGACTGAGTTACGGGGAGTCACGGGCGAAGGATTAGAGTACTTGCAACCGCTGGAAAGTCTGCCCTGGTTGGCGTTTAATGATGAGGCTGGATCGAATTTTGGGGGCCAAGAGGAGGAGAAGAGGTACATCTGGATGACAGTAGTCGAACAGTACTCGCGTCGATTGTTGAGTGACCCTGGCGACAGGTTGGATGCCTTGAAGGGTATCACCCTAGAGCTTCAGAGCCTGTGGCGGGACACCAACACCTTTGGGTTGTGGAGAAAATGGTTTATCGAGCAGCTGACCTGGTCGAAGAAAGATTGTGAGAAAGACGGCAATACGGAAGTTGTGAGGTCAGCCCGGGCACCCAGCTGGTCGTGGGCTTCTCTGAACGGGCGGATCCGTTACACTGGCTTATTCACGACGGAGTATGCCGAGGTCCGGGGCATGACTCTCTTAGAGGAACGCACCTCACCGCATAACGTTATCTTGTCGTGTCCTATCATCACACTTGACGATATGGACCAGTCAAGGCTTGATGAAGACGAAGAGTGGATAACAGAATACCCTGATTTAGCCGACATCTCGCTTGAGATCGGTGATAGAGAAACCGAATATCTTATCCTAGGGAAAACGATGTTGGGAGACCTTGAGCTGCTCATCGCGCTCATGGTGGTTGAAGATGACGCATGCGGCGGAGTATACCGTCGAGTTGGGCTGGCAACATTCACTGATGAGGCAATCTTGAATAGTGCAAAGGACAAGGTCGTAACGCTGAAGTAGAGATCCCACTGGCGAGGTGCTGATTCGGTTCACGTCACGCATCAGGACTAGCTGTTAGCTCGAAAAGCCACCCCATGTGGCATATCGCATTAACGTCTGTCTCAAACCTCGACTTTCAACAATGCTCGCTGCTTATCCAATGCGCCGGGTGAAGAAAAGTCCTTCCCAATAATGCTTATATCCAAAGTTTGACTGTTCCGCTGTTCCAAACGCCATTAAGTCACACAATGTCCGCTCAAGATGCTCATAATAGGGGTTCCGCATGTACATATGTACATAACTATAACTCATTCGACTGTCCACTGTTCACATCATAATGACCGCTAAGCCGATACCCAAGACAATTGCGAGAGTACTTGGTGCTGATGTCGAAGTTGACGAGATCGTCTCAGACGCCGGAACGCCAGACATTTCAGGAGCAGGACTGGTGGGCAGGGTCGATCCGGTTCCCGAGCCAGATCCTGAGCCGGAACCCATCCCCGTTCCTGGTGAGGTGGTCGTGCCGTTACTCGCTGGCGGGGCGGGAACAGCGATAGAACCGGCGGGAGCAGGGCATAATCCTCGGATAGCCGCAATGTCTTCTGGCCTGCTAATGGGCATTGTCCTGGTGCCACAGTTGACGTACTGCGCCAAGTAAGCGGCGTTGGTGTCTAAGTCGAAGACGGCTGTGGATATCAGTTAGTCCGGCAGCTCGTTATTGAAGATTTCATAGGTTCTACTTACCGTAAGCTGAGCGTAAGAAGGTATCGCCCAGCAGCGTGAAGTCCGCGTTGGGGACAATTCCCAGGTAGCATGTCGGCGGGGTGGTGCGCAGCTCACGAATCATCTCCTTGTAAGGAACCTTAATCTTCATCCCATCAAAGTCGAAGTCGACGGTCCCGTTGAGATCAACAAGAGAACAAGAGACAGGGTAAAACCCGTTGGCGTCCAGACCAGGTGAGCCAAAGTCGGTAGCAACCTGCACGGCAAGCTCTTCGGGCAGCAGTGTGAGAGTAGCGCCACTGTCTAGAAAGACTGGCATTGAGCTGTTTTGGTACATGCGAACGCGGCGACTTGGCGGAGTGAGACTAAGTGAGTTCATGTTTACCCAGTACCGAGCAACACCGTCAGGGGCCTGATCTGCCGGGAGAATCGGAAGGCGTGCCAGTGGCCCGGAGAATTTCGAGGTGTCAATGCCGCCAAAGACTATTGCCCCTTCCTGTTCGTCTTTGGAGCCCAGTCCGAGGCTAAAGGCTTTGGTGCGGGTGACACCTTGGGTAGCGAGCTCGTCGATGAGGTTCTTATAACGGGTGTTGACGCCATTTCCGTAGCCAATACCAAGAATTCCTGCGAACTGGTCTTCAGAGCTGGTAGCGACGCCAAATTGGACCTGCTGCATTGTTGTTCGAGAGCCGGCGAGGGCGAGACTGTCGCGGACATAGGTGATATTCGCTGCGCCGATACCGTAGCGGAGAGTTTTGGTGGTCTGCAGAGAGACAGCGGTTGAAGATCGAGCTGTGTCATAGAAGCCGACGGCTTCGCAGAAGCGTTGGTCAGAAGCGGCGAGGGCCCCGCACTCTGGGTTCACCCATAGCTCAAATGAACCGGTGTCTAGCTGAGCGTAGACTGGCTGAGGGGGTGTGCCAATGTTGACTATGCTGGAGTTAGTGTGTATTCCAAGTACTCATCCGTCGAGACAAATAGAGGTGCTGCTCACGTTGGGCATAGTAAGCCACATCCGAACGATTGGCAAGCTTCGCCTCGACCTGTCTACTAAATACACCACGCTTGGTAGAGTGGATGACGGGCAGCGTGACAAAGGCGCTGTCGACATCGACACTGTCATCAACAGGCAGGCCACGCACTGTTGGGGGCTTAACCACCGGGGCGGCAGGAAGAGCCTCCAAATCATCGCCCAGAAGATTATCGAGTAGAACCTTTCGAGGGGCTCGTATCCGTCTCTTCCTCTTTGACTTTGAAGTCACTGGCAGCGTCATCATCATACTGACTTCATCGTCCTCGTCTGCGGGAAGGGAGAGCCCGCGCGAGACGACTTCAACATCGTGCTGTTGTGTGGCGGTATATGGGATGACGGGAAGTGTCATGAGCGTTCTGAAATCGCCATCGTCGGTTGGTAACTGAGGCCATCCGTGTGCTCCAGTGACTAGTGAAAGAGCCAAAAGAGCGGATGAGAGGAGCGCCATTTCTGGCGTTGGGGAAGATAATGCGTGCTATCGCGGTCGTCGCCACATGGGAACTATTTGGATGGAATGGCGCTTGATCGAGTTGATGAAGGGTGGCGGACGTCTCGTGAGTGGATCTGGAAGCCGGTCTCGGGTGTCTTTTGGTGAGAGCTAATCGGTTGTTGGTAAGGAGCGTACAGACCAGGAACCAACTGATTTGAAAAGACAATGATGAGAAAGAAACGAAAAGGAGTCGAAAAGTAAAGCTGATCCAGCAAGCTGTCAATGGTTGAATGGTATTGAAGATCCCACCGGGAGGTCGTGAGGGAAAGGTTGCCTTTCAAACGGCAGACGCAACGCAATGCAAAACACGTCTTGGCTACCAAGAGCTTCCAAGAGGTGGGAAGAGTAGAATTGAAGCAAACTCCACCGTCGAGGCAGACAATGATTGAGGACAAAGAGGAAGAATTAGCGTAAAGGAAAGAAGAGGCAACGAAAGAAGAGAATTGCTGTGACAAGAATAGAGATTGGAAACGCAAATGGGAATAGATCGACCAAGACCAAGAGTGAGAGAAGACGAACTAGCCGATGGCCTGTCCCAGCTGTCACCGCGCCAAGGGAGGGGGACCAGCCAACGACGATGAGGAACCACGGTGTCTGGGTGTCTCGAAAGTAGCATGGTTCGCACGTTTTCTTCCCTAAGAGAACCCCATCTTGACATCCCTTGTCAGTGCAGTGTCTTAGGAAGACCCTGTCGAGCATCCTCCCGCCTGGTGCGGCTGCTGAGCCAAAATCCAAATTTGGCACAGGCGACACACAACTCACGCGGCATTAGCATCCCTACGGATACTTTTTGCTCTCGGGGGTGGTGCTGGCTTGCAGACACACACAATTAATTGTCCAGCTGATGGACGAACGACAACCTTCCTCTGCAGTACGCAGTATGCTCGAAGAGGTCCCTGCTTTGTCCTACTCGTCTCGCCCTAGCGGAGGGATGCCAGACTTGGTAGTTCGCAAGACTTGGCAGTTCGGCCTTGGCACCTTCGAACGTCCAAGACGGACCTGTGAGTGGTCGCGACGAACACTTCAAACAATGACTCCAGGGCCTGGCGTCGCAGAGTTGACTAGGGGCCGCAGCCGAGCTAGCGGTGGGACATCGTAGATCAGACAAACCCCTGAGACGAAAGTGGACGCGATTTGGTGTGAGAGCCACGGCCACTATGCCTGAACAGGTTACCTCAGATCTCTTCAAGAGCCCTCACCGAGCTGTCGACGGGTCAAAAAAGGAGCTCCAGGAGTTCAGCGGGTCGGGTATTTGCGACCTGGGAGTGCGGGAGAGATCATAGCCGATGTGATCCGGACCAATTGCGCCACAGTTTTTAACCCGAAAGCGACAATATCGATGATCCAAGGATCACGACAGTGCTTGCTCGATAGGCTTAAACCTGCCGCTGGCCAATCCTGGGTTACATTCTGCGAGATCCCCCGGACTCTTGGAGCCTGGCCTGAAGCAAGAGAGCATAGAAATCGCTCAGATGCCATGAAGAATCAGACCACATGCATATAATTCTCAGCCCATCATCAGAGAAGTCAAACACTGAGCGGAAAGTCGAAGAAGTCGAAGAATCCATCGATGTAATTCTTCAAAGTCTGCTGAAGAATGCAAAAGTAAGACATTTCAGTCAGCGCCCACCTGAGATGAACCGAGTAAGGTTAGACTTCTCCTGTGCAGCGCCTGACGGACTAGACCCTATGACTATTTATGGGCTCCGCGCCCGTGCTTTGCGTTGTCCGTGCCGAGCGGCGTCCCCCGGATTCCGGCAAGGACTTTCACACTTTAACGGACGCAAGTTTTACTCACAGTGATGTTCAATCTAGTTGCTGGCTTTCATTGGCGGGAATACATGAGAGATCTGGAGGTTGGTCTTCGTTGTATTGTCCCGTCGATCAAGCCATCAACTCGATGCTCCTCGAAGCAAAAGCTAAATACTGCGTACAGCTTTTTAAGTTTGGAGTTGTGTTCGGGGCCATAGTGCTTTCAAGATGCCTACGCTTCAAGCGTCACCACCCCCCACCATCTCCATTCCCGCAAAAAGCTCGATCCAGTCCTTCAGTCTTTCTTGTAGAAACCATTCCAAGTCCCAAGACTGGTAAGCAACCAAATCCTCATCGCCATACCATAGGTATATGTTCGCTTCGATTAAGCTCTCGACCGTTTCGCCACCGTGACTTAACACCATGGCTTGTATTGGATTGACTTGGTGAACTTCGCCTTCAAAGTCGTCAAGATTCTTCCGCTGTGAGAGCGTTTGAGGCTGTAGGAGATATCCATTTATGTATGAACCGTGCTCCCTAATGGCGCATGGATAATCACAGCCGTGTAATGAGTAACGTGCGACGTTTTCCACTTTCGCGGTCCGAATGAGGGCCGATATCTCCTTAACTTGAGTAGCGTCACCAGTCAGAACCCAAGCGAGTAGTGGTAGGGCGCATAAGGTACCATACAGGAACATAGGTCTTGGGACTGTTTCCATGATCAAGCGGAGTCGTACTACAGTTGGAGCCCCAGCGGTCGCGGTGGTGACAAAGGTGGATGTTTGAGATTTCGAGCCACGCCGGGCAGGTGTAATGCGATGCGTCCGAAGTCCACCGTGGTTAACACCCAGATTGATGACAATTTTGACGTGGATTTTCTCATGAAAGCTGTGCGAAAGATTGAATGAAGTGGGAAATAGTTTTTTCTTGTGTTCTAGAGAGAAGTGCTGGCCGTTTCATGGTCTCTACTCTTTGCTATTTCCCCCAGTTCTAAGGACCTTGATGTCAAGGAAGGTTCCATCAGGGTTCAGCTAACAAGTTCGAAATAACTACTCCCACAATTGAAGTGGATGACACAATCAGTCGTCGGCAATACATCTAGAATCCCCTATGCTTCTTGAATAAAGACTTCGATATTATAGTAAGAATACACTGAGGCAAACGTTGGCCTCGAGGAGTACCAATGAAAGAGATTATGATGACGACAAGAAATCTCGGGAAGCGTTGAACCGTAAAATATTCTGTCGTTCACCTACTGTCCTTTGGGGGCTTAAACCAGTGTTTCTTACTTTCATGACCGACTTCGTGGTGTTTATCATGAGTTGGGATACTGTATTGCACTCTCAGAAGACAATGGCTGTGCGAAGGCGCACCTGAAGATTGAAGATTGATCGGGAGATAAACATCACGGAAGAAGTGGCCGTAGTGCTTTCAACTCAGTTCAAGCAACGATAACGATGAAACAGACGGCTACAGTTCTATTGACTGCTCGAGACCCGAGACACCATGACAACACTTTGACACTAATTGGCATAGCATTGAGCCTTTTATGAGACAGTGACACTTGAAATGGAGAAGGACATGCAACAAAAAAGTCTGAACAGACCCCATCCACCACGACTGATCTTGACTCTCCCGGCTATCCATGCACATTCGACCCGAAGTGCACCCGCCTTGCGCCGATCATTACTAGGTACCCTGTCATGTTTAGTCCAAAAGACGAAGAATCTTGACCCGAACGCCTTTCGTATCATCCCGAGGCTCGCCCAGAAAGCAGTCACGGTAGTGGTCAATGTCCCTCTCTCTGATGACATCGTATAATTCCAGATCAAATCGACGCAGAACTTTGGCAAGTGCAACGTACATCTCTGCCCAAGCAAGACTTGGCGGCGCATGATAGTTAGTAGATGCCTGCTTGAGTTCGCTGTTGCGGCGAGGAATTGACGCACTTGAGTCCAATGCAATTGCGGTGTCCGCGCCCAAAAGGGAAGAAGCATTTCGCGCTCTGGGTGTAAAGAGGGTGAGACTCGAGCCACCTCTCGGGTTCAAATATTCTAGGGTCTGGAAAGGCCTTCGAGTCCATCATCAGATCGGCGAATGTCATGCCGATTGGCGTCTTCCGAACCAGGTAGGTCAGTAAACATTCAACCAACTCTGCCAGGGCGACTTGAAACCAAATCACTTGAACAATTGATGATTGATCTTACGTTTATTGTGATGACCCAATCTCGGTATGTGAGACATTCCGTAGGTGCTTGCAGCACAACTCTCATGGTAATAAGCGCGGAGATCCGAAGTGACTCTTTGATGACAGCGGTCTTATCAGCACGTCGACATTAGTAAGTTGACCTTGGATCAAAGATAGATAACTCGCATCAGGTTGATGCACTCACGGTCCACGGCAAGTTTTCGAGCTTACTCAGCGGCACATCCATATTGGAGTCTGGCATCGCGGCTCTCAGCTCCTCCTTTAACTTGGCAAGGTGGTTTGGATTTGAGAGTAAGTGATATACAGCAGTGGTCAGAATTCTGCCGATTGTATCTCCCGAAGCTGTTAAGACAGTGAAGCCTTCTTGGGCCATTCGCTTGGAGCCCTTCTCGCTCTGAGGCAAGTTCGATCTAAGAATCGCTTGAAATAGGCTGCCGTTGTCCTCTTTAATACCGATGGATGCCGACGAGTCCTTGATGGCCTCTTTTGCTTGACCTTCCATGTCCTAACAAAATATTAGACTTGTTCAAATTTATTTAGTGGATGCACAATTTATCGACTTACCAGCAAAATCTGGGTCACTAGAGTCAAATCTGACGATACTCGTCGGATGAGCCACATTGGGAGTCCAAACGCGAATGATAGAAACCATGGGAACTGTCTGACAATAGGGGTGAAGTGAAGTAGACCGATGATACTTGCTCTCCACTTTTGGGCCTTTACCTGGTCTTTTAATAAGTGCATGTCGCCTGTCTTGCCAAGCGCAAGGGCGCAGTAGAAGTCGGTGGTATAAGCCAACAGCGGGACACGAATGTTGAACGGATTGCCCTCCCTGGCGTAATTCTTGAAAACTTCGCAGAGTTGTTCAACCTTCTCGTGGATGAGTCCTTCGTGGACAACCACAGACTGCTTGGAGAAGAAGCCAGAGATGGCAGACCGGCGCATTCGATGAGTACCGTGGTTCAAGGTCCCAAAGATGCCACCAGGAGCGCCCTGGACACTGGCACTCGGCGGGTACTTGTCACGGCGAGCGCTCCCTCCAGCGAACAGGACATCGAAAAAGTGGTGGTCACTGACGTGAAGTTCGTGAGGGTTTATGCGTACGATAGGGCCATAGTCGTCGTGCATCTGTTGAATCTTGTAGGCGAAAGTCTTGCCAGGTGCACCAAAGAGTTCGTGGTAGGTCTCATACCAGCCAGTGAATGCTGTCAGTTTGGGACCAGGGAAATTTGCGAGAGGATGGAGCGTGATGTTGTAGATCCCTACACATATGAGATAAAGAAAAAGGAGTCCTGGGAAGATCGTGACAAGGTTGCCCAAGAAGAGTCTGAAGGTAGTGTCGTTCACTAAGATACCCATGGTCAATAGATTTTCCTTATTACATGTAGAAGGACAAGTTTAATGCCTGGCTGGCGAAGGAGAGCAGCTTTGAAGTATTTCAATGCTGCCGCTAATGGGATATCGAATTTTCCTAGGTTTTCCCTTCTGACACCTCAGCGAAAGAAAATGAAGTGCCCGATGCCAGCTTTCTAGAATATTTATCAGACCAAGGTAGACGTAGATACGAGCGACCTGACTATTGCCAGCGGCGAGCTATGTTATCACCGCCTTGTCTCTCATGACGCCCTGGCATGATTCTAGACAACCCCCGACCATCCGCACCGCTTGGCCACTCCACCGTTGATTAGCTACTTCTAGATGTTTTGCTGCATATTTCATGCAGATCCCCTGCACTTGAGAGGCCAGCTCAACATCAGTACATTGCGGCACGGCTACCAAACTATCCCGGATGAGCAGCATTTCATGTTGGGGATTATGGACTCCGAGGTGCTGCCCAGCGAGTTCCAAGAATAAGACTTGTTTGATTGGTACCGACTGGCTAAGAGGAACAAATGAACCCAGCAAGACGTCAATGAAGGTTACAATGTGTGCGTGCTTACCCCCAACTCAATCAAGCATGGTTGGGGCAATTCCAAGAATGGCAACGCTTCGGCCTTCGATCTTGCCCCATGACGACTTCAGCGTAATCGAGCATTTACCTCTTTCGTCCATAGTACAAGGACCTCAAATGCGATGCCAAGGCGAACATAACACAAGGATTCGGATACACCAGTTTAGCGTAGGCCTTGCCGGTACGCCGACGACACCATCCGCGGGGTAATGAGTCTCCAACAAATCCGGAGCTCGGAGTTACACTGATTACGGCCTTTATGCAGTCAACATGCACAGCAAGAGTTGCATCACAAGCCAACAGCATGTGAGGTTTCATCGGCTTGGCATGTAGGTACTTCGAGGTTCAGGCAGGTTATACGTGTTGGAACCTCGAGTCCGAGGAGTGTATTTTACAGCGAATTGGATTGCTTCATGGCGCCAGGTGGCTGCCGATAAAGATAGAAAAACATCGACATCAGGTTTTTCTAGATTGACGGCATCAAAAGTGAACAGGTGAGGGCCTTCTCAGTTTGGATAGTACCCTGTCTGTCTCATGGAATCACCGAGCTCTAGGGGCAATGACCCCGAAATGCAGTAATGACGCCTTTCCCACCTTGGCTTCATTCACAAATCAAGTTTTCTCTTTCAACTGCGAGATATTCGATAAGTGAGGCATCAGAAAAGAAAAAAAAAACAGGAGGTATGATCTCCGCAATCCAATCAAGTGAATATTCATGAGCGTCTTAGTCGTGTTTGGACAGGTATTTATAAACGGCTGCCTCATATGTACACTTCATCAATAGTAAGAACCACAATCTCACGTTGCTCATTTCCAGAACCTACCATTGTGTATTAATGAACGAGAGCATCGGCGATGGCTTGCCTCGGCGTCCGTCAGACCCTCATCCAACAGCTCAGGGGTAAAGATCTTCGTATTCCGGATCTCAGCCTGCTCTTCAAAGAATGGCCAAAAGACGCAAGCCCTTGCCTGGAAGGCCTTCGAACTCTTTCTGGAGAGCGGATCGCAAGGTACGGCACCGGATAAAGCCTCCAGTCAGTCTTTAGCAGTATGGTTAGCTGACTAGGCTTTGTTTAGCTTCACTGAGTTGCCCAAGAGCCGGATTTCAATGTCAAAAATCGATGTAGGACTGTTCATATCAACTTGGTACCCTGGAGTGAACCTGGAACGGGGAGATATCCTGTGTTGTGTAGTCCTCTGGGTGCGTTCACTTTCTTGTCAAGTTGTATGCAATTAACTCCGGCTAAACATTTCAGCTATTCACACGGGATGACCGTAAGTGTACGAGATGACTGCTACAGGCTTTTCGACTGACTCCAGCAGAAATCGATGAAAAGGGGGGGCATCTGTACGACAATCTTCAAGCCGCACACGTTTTCCGGCGAGAAACCCTCGAATACGTGCGACACTGCCTTCGTCTTTCCGACAATGAGGCCTCCCATGAAGTCCGGACGAATTATATCATCGCTTTCTTCAAAGTGATTGGCGATGCGGTGTGCGAGGCTTATGACTACGGTGAGTCTTTGGCCGAACCTCTGATCGCACCGGGTTTCTCTCAGGTCAATTCGTTGCTATCTCTGACCTATTATGCATCAATCAGATCACCGAGAGATTCTTTTCGATGAGATCAAGTTCTTCATAGAGACCTCCGAAACAGAACAGCAGCGTCGGCTTGGCCCTGAGCTCCCGTCTACGCGAGAATACATTGCAACCAGGATGGGAACAGGCGCAGTCAACGTCTGCTTGTTCTTCATTGAGTATGCATATTCGAATACATCTACTTCGGGAGGTTGTTGGATGCGCTGACCTTACTAGCTATGCCTGCGGGGTCTCTGTCCCGATCGAAGTCCTCAGAGAGGTGAAAATGAGGACATTATGGGACCAGGCGAACATTCTCGTATGGGCGTATGTTGACTAAGTACTCATACCAATGCGTGTGTATCAGAGCACTAACGGAGACAACCAGCGTCAATGACCTCCTCTCTCTTAAGAAAGAGATAGTAAGCCATCCTCAATGTGGTCTTTCTTTTCTTCTTATAGTAGCGTGTTTGCTGACTCTCAGCCCGAAGGCACAGCAAACGGTCGAGAGCATTGTCCCCTTGCTCTTCAGAGAAACGGAAAGTCTTGATGTTGCAGTCTCCATGGTCACTGAAATGATCCACAAGGCTATCACTGGATTCAACCATGCCGCCGAGTGCCTGATGGCTAAGTTTTCCGATGATGAAACATTAGCGGCTAACCTCAAGACTTACATTGATGGTTGTAAATACATCTGCACTGGCAACCTGACTTGGAGTCTTCAGACAGGCCGGTATGGCCTTTCGCAGCATTCAATTTCCGGGGGCTTGGCTATGCGCTTGTAAAGGGAAAGACTGCAACATCCACAATAGCTTCAGTTAGCTAGTCCTGCAGTAGTTTATGAACAGAAGTAATGGTGACGACTCCTTCGAAACAGCAAGCGCGCAATAAAGTACTTCGGACTAAGTCAACTCTCTCAATACCGTGCTACAAGATTACGCAATTGACTATAACGTTATCTGGTCATGTCACGATTGTAATTACCAAAGCCGCGGCGCCCAAGGCCCTTAGCGCTTATGAATCAGGTAAGGTAGCTAGCTCATCGTATGAACTTCATTTGTAATGGCCATACCTGCTAACTATAATTGCCGTGATCTGGCCGTTTCCCCATCGACTGCGGCATGATGCCGGCATACAAGTCTCTAGTTTTCTCCAATGCTGATTCTTTCTCAATCTTCGACTAAGTCCGCCGGATTGAAGTACCTGAGACGGGGCATCTTGGAATGATACGTAATTTGATATTACCCCTCATCCGTAGTACGTATCTATGCACCAACGCCATGCCACAGTCGATGGGATATGAGCTGACTAGATCAGTAGTCAAGTTAGACGCGTTGGTATTTCAGAGATATTCAACGGAAAGCGTTGGTGAAAGAGCACTTACGTGCAATCTTCACCTCTCGATAGTGCAGTTACATCGATCCACTGAAGAGACCCAAATACCATGGTGCAAGCGATCCCCGAAATAAGCAGGCAATGGAAGGTTGTCGGTGAAAATGGATCAGATTCTCTACAATTTTCGGATGAGAAGTCTCCAGAGGTCGGTGATAGCCAGGTTCTAGTCAAAAGTTGGTGCAACACGTTATCCCTGATCGCCCCTTTGTACGTGTTATAATCACTAACACCTGCTCCTAGTCCAAGGCGCCACCTTGAACGTTAGTACTCACTCCCGTTTGATTTATATTCCAGTTGACTGAGCTTGCCGATAGTACCGAGATGTCACAATTACTGAGGGCACATACCCTTGGGACGTCAAACCGGACGTTGTCCCAGGGTCTGACGGCGCAGGCACAGTACTAGCTGTCGGAAAGCATGTTACCCGATTCAAACCAGGCGATGAAGTGGTTACGGCGCTAGCTCAGAGATACATCGCAGGCCCACTCAGCGACGACCTTCCACAGTCTGGACTTGGTGCCGTACTCGATGGCACTTTTCGCACCATCGGAGTCTTCGGCGAGCAGGGTCTCGTCCCGCTGCCTCGAGGCTTGAGCTTCATCGAGGGCGCAGCCCTGACTTGTGCTGGTGTTACTGCTTGGAACGCCCTCTTTGGACTACCCGGCAGGCAAGTCTCGGCCGGGCAATGGGTTCTCACGCAGGGTACGGGCGGAGTAAGCATCTTTGCCATTCAATTCGCCAAAGCCGTCGGAGCGAGGGTCATTGCCACCACCAGCTCTGCCGAGAAGGCCAAACTTCTTGAGAGGCTCGGTGTTGACCATATCATCAACTATCGTGAGACGGTCGATTGGGGAAAAGAGGCCAAAAGGTTGACCGGAGGCGTTGGCGTGGATTTGGTCGTCGAAGTTGCGGGACCAACGACTCTGAGACAAAGTCTTGTCAGCTGCAGACTAGACGGAACTATCATCACCACGGGGTTTGCTGGCGGTAACCCGTCTGAGCACGACATGCCAACGTTTTTGGATTCGTGGCTGAGCCTAGTTACGGTTCGAGGAGTTTGGTGTGGCAGTCGGCTACAGCTTGAAGAGATGTCTCGAGCCATCGAGGCCGACGTAGACAGGTTGCGCCCTGTCATTGATCCCAAGGTCTTCAATCTGGAACAACTAAAGGAGGCGTACGAGTATCTGCAGTCAGGAAAACACCAAGGAAAAGTTGGCATTGAGATCAATTGAAGCGGCTGAGCATTGCTCAGATGGAAAATGTCTTTAATTCGCAATTCCTCCACGAAGGATGTCTCTTCGATGCAAAAACAAGGTTTCTAATGCATTCTTCGCTGGGCATCACTTGTGGACATGAACCAGGTCTTGATCTTTCTCTGTAACTCATCATCGTTGTTCAGTAGACACCAATGATTCAGAGTTTTTTGGTTAGGAAAGCCCCATCAGTATCCCAAGAGATATGTCTCTGGAAGCATGAGGCTCAAGGCAACCTTTCTGACTGAGTTTGCACTTGGTCAGAACGATGTACTAAGGGTGTTTTAAACCTTGACTTTGCGGCACAAACTACCAAACATCATGAATGAAGCATGAAGAGCAAATTGGCAGGACATTTGCTATTCGTATAGGTAGACGCATCGATGAACGAGGATAGTCTAAGAGACCCAGCAACTGATCATAGACTAAAGCACAACACCAACTTCGTCAAATGACTTGTAAACTGTGCCGACAACCAACTTGCTGCTTTCTGCTGAGTCATGGCTAACTTATCTCATACTCACCAATGCAGCTCAAGATTGAGAGATGCAAGAAGCAAAAGTCTAAGCTCCTAGTGTTTGGCCAAAGCTTCCCGAAAGGAGCTTCTCCGCAATGGGTAGACAAAGTCAATTATACTACACTCACTATAGGCACATGGCCTGTGTTATGCCCTTTGTTTTCAATAAGAGTAGAGTTCATGCAAACTTCGTGCCCCTAACTCTAAAGTCAAAATTTTCTGCCGGCAGATTATACCCTCAATCCGAAGCAATTCTGCCTCAGAGTGTCAACATTCTTCTACCTGCGGGGCAGAGATGTGTCACTGAGATCAATTTACGTCATTCATCCTTTTCATCTGCTCTCATCTCCAACACTCATGCTCATTTGCACATGTTTCGGATGATTGCTGACTGATATTTCGCTCGCGACCAATTCGTCTGGTCGTAGGAAGGAACCTTCCAAAGTCTCCTCATTCAATTGCCAGGTGCATCTTAAGCAAATCGTTCGGCTGAGCATTCGGCAAAATAGTCCCTCGCTTAACGATTGTCCACCAGCGAGAAGAACGGATCGTTAAACTTCCCGGGGAAACGAAACGAAAAGAGCGTTGCCCCAAAACGCAGAGACCATGACGGGACGAAGCTGAGGTGGTGCGCGTGTCCAGCTGGGAAGCAAATGCTTGATTCAGGCCAATCGTCTTGCAAAGATGTCGGACGTTAAACGTCCCGATACCTCACAAGTGCCATGCGTCTAAAACCTTCCGACTTTGGCGCAAACTTCATTAGATGACCAGAGCTCATCGTTGTAAACATGACTTGCTGAGACTGCGCTTATTGATGAATTACAACATCTCAACTGGCTTTTGAGGCTTCAACAACGCCTGTCCCACATCCCGGCTCCAACCTCTGTAGCGAGTGTCAGGTTAATTGCAGATTCGTGGAATCCGATGGGGGTCCCTGCTTTCGGGCTCTAGGCCGGTTGGTTCGACGCGCCCCTGACTCAAAGAGATTAGTCGGTGAAGACGGGAGAGAATAAGGGGTGGTGCGCCTCAACTGGGCAGAAGATAGCAACTTCACCCGCATATCAACTCGCACTCTAACAACGCTTGTTGGTCGATGTCATGTTCCTGATTGACATGAAACGCTGTCATTAGAAAGATGCACGTCTTGATCCCCACAAAATCCTTCTTGCTCAAGAATAAGCGCCTGATCGGTGCAACGGCCGACGCACTAAACAAACCTAGACAGATGATGTTGGCCATTTCACGTCATATCGACAGAGCCCGTTGATTCCGAATGGATCCAACCTAACAAAGCCCTGCAATATCCACCGAGCCGCGTTGCCAGGCATGCCAGTCATTCCCAAAATGTGTTGTTCACCCGTTCGGACGGATGAGGGTCTACAAATGTCCTCCAATCAGTGAGGCCATATTCTTCTTCTGTTGCGGTCGCCAAGACTGGATCTGGAAGATATATAACACATTACCTTGGCACCCTACTTGGCGTTTGTTTCCCCAGCCAGTCTCCGATTCTCACCACCACTCACTTTCTTGTTCGATTCACTATTACCGTCGTTCTCTTTTCTCCACGCCAAGATGGCCAAGTTTTTCGCCCCTGCTGCGGCTCTGCTGAACGTCGTTCTGGTAGCGGCGTCTCCTCGTGGCCACCACGGATCTCACATTCGTTACACAAACACCATTCCTCGCGCAAGCAACGCAGTAAGTCAGCCCTATGCGATCCACGATCCATCTGATGCGCGCCAAGACCCGGCAATCTGACTGACCCGTTTCTCGCCCACTTTAGACCGGCTGCGTTGTCACCAAGTACGACGACATTGCGAACGCCGTCAAGACATGCACCGATATCACGCTCTCTAACATTGCTGCGCCCTCCAACGGTGCTATCGATCTCTCCAAGCTCCAGACGGGTACCAAGGTCACCTTCGACGGCACAACCGTACGTTTCTTTTTCCGACTGGCGACTAGACGAAAAATTGGGTACTAACTCCGCGCTCAGACTTTTGCCGATACCGTCGACAGCAGCTTCGACCCCATCATCATCTCCGGAACCAACATTGTTGTTACTGGCGCTCCCGGACATGTGATCGAGGGCAATGGTGCGGCTTACTGGGACGGTCTTGGATCCAACGGTGGTGGCGACAAGTGAGTGACTACTTCCTTAAGGCAGACGAAGATTTAGAGCTAACCAGTGAAATCAGGCCTAACCACTTCGTTGTCGTCAAGAAGACCACCAACGCCAAGATCACCAACCTGAACATCAAGAACTGGCCCGTCCACTGCTTCTCCATGACCGGCAACCAGGGTCTCACTGTCTCCGGCCTCGTCCTCGATAACTCTGCCGGTGACGCGCCCAACTCCAAGAGCGGCAGCAAGGCCGCCGCCCACAACAGTGACGGTTTCGACATCTCCTCCAGCGACAACGTCCTTCTCGAGAACATCAAGGTACACAACCAGGACGACTGCGTCGCCGTCACCAGTGGAACCAAGATCACTGTCAACAACCTCTACTGCTACGGAGGTCACGGCCTCAGCATCGGCTCCATCGGCGGCAAGAGCAACAACACCGTTGACGGCGTTGTCTTTTCCAACTCCCAGGTCGTCAAGAGCTCCAACGGCTGCCGTATCAAGTCCAACTCCAACACCACTGGCGAGGTCAGCAACGTCACGTACAAGAACATCACCCTCACCGATATCGACACCTACGGCATTGATGTCCAGCAGGATTACCTCAACGGTGGCCCAACTGGCTCGCCCACCAACGGAGTCAAGATCTCTGGCATTCACTTCATCGATGTGACTGGAACTGCCACTAGCGACGCCTACAACTACTACATTCTCTGCGGTGACGGCAGCTGCTCCGACATCACCTTTGAGAACACCAAGATCACGGGAGGCGGCAAGACCAGCAGCTGCAACTTCCCCGCCAGCGGATGCCCGGCATAATCGAAAAGACCGTTCTCTGTAAATATTCAAACAATGTGAATAAGGATACAACGCATATATTACGATCTCGTTTTCGCCGACGGCTTCGGCAATCCGGCACGGGGCATGTGGGACTTCCGGCGCCGGGTGGGTCCTGGAACAGCTTAGCTAATTGAATCATCTTTCATCATCAGATGCCCTAGCTCGCTCAGTGAACAGTGAACAGTGAACTGACATGTCTGCTAATCAAGTATGAATGATCTTTATGACGGTTATCGAGACTTTCGATACATCCCCGGATATTGGTGACCGTATTGTAGCTTTTGTTGGCTCCTCATTGTCACGTCTTCTGGCAGAGCCGTTGTGTTCCGTCCACAGTCTTTTAGGGGCTTGACCAGCGCCCTCCGTGGCGCCTTGGCAGACCCCTCAGACTGCATTTAAGCAGCAACGACCCCTAACCCCCCAAGCCTGCACTACCTTACCGTCCTTCCTATGAACATTGCAGCGACCGGAAATGGACTCTGAAAATATACGAAATCAGCCTTCGAGCAGCGCACCACGTCGACAAGCGCTCAATGTGAGCATTGAGGTCAAAAAAGGCTGGGCGTTGCTAACAATCTCGCAAGGTCTGCGCGCCATGTCGTGAGAGGAAGACGAAATGTGATGAAGCGAAACCTTTTTGCGGGCGATGTAGAAGGTTGGGGCTGCAATGTGCATATATCGAGACCGTCACATCGAAGTAATGTAGTATGCTTGCCCTCGTGAAGAGTTACAGTCGACTGACTTTCATCAAGAACCTCTCTGTCACGGAGTTGAATGACACACTGAAGCGGATGGAAGCTAAGCTGGATGCTCTCATGGAGAGTACTCACGACTTTCGAATCACTTCAGATGGGCAGTCACGGCTACAGAACCATCACGAACCGACAGTTGAGAACCCTGACCCGATGGAGGCAGTCAGTCCGATGAGCGTATTCTCGCCTTCCAAGCTGGGATCGGTCCAGATCCGCCAGGAACTCGCCATCCCGGAGAAGCACTACACGGCACCACAGCATCTTCTCTCCTGGCCTTGTTCTCCGGTCACTCTGACGGAGCTTGATCTACGATACCCAGTCGCGTCGGAGATTCAGCGACCCAAGATGCGCAGAAGTAGAGCACCCCCACGATGCCTCGTTGAAAGTTCCTCGCGAGATGATGGTTGGCTGTCCAACCTGTCGCTGGCGCAATTGCGTGACCTAGCCGACTCTTACTTCAGTCACTTCCACCCGCAGTATCTTGTGTTAGACGAAGACCGATTCTATAGCCATCATCTCAATCAAGCTCTCAGAGTGGGGTTTGCTCGCAATCTTGATAGCTGCTTGGTGGCACTCGTCCTCTCGCTCGGCTCTGTAGCTGCCTGCCAGACTGGTAAAACAGAATGGGCCCAGTCCGACTCAACGGATGCCATGTTAGATCACGAGGCTGGTCTCGGGTTCTACACCGTTGCGTGCGATATGTTCCGAGATGTTGAAGAAACCGACTGGGTGAGCGTCCAGTGTCTTTTGCTCATGGCGTAAGTAAAGCTTGGATCTCCTGTAGGGAGGCATTTTGAACGCTAATGGCGCTTGACAGTCTTTACAACTCATCAGTCTTGAGAATTCATGACTCTTGGAGTTTCATTCACAAAGCGTGCTCTCTGATCATGATCTTGCTGCCGCTGTAGGTCCGGTGATTTGTAGGTTGTTGGCCAGGATGCGAAATTCACTAACAGGTTGGCATCAGGCAGGCGAAACTTGAAGCGCACCACTGCCAGCTGTACTGGATTGCGTATCTGCAAGAAAGGTACCAACACTTTCGGCTTTGGCCCTCAAAGTCTTGCGTGCTAATCAAGTCACAGCCAAATTCTTGTCGAGTATGACTTCCCGCCTAGCGGCTTGAGTAGTCTCGAAAGTGCAGTGCCCTTGCCGCTACTGCCCGACTCTGGCGCAGACTCTCAGGGCAAAGACACGCAATTCTACTTCTTGGCACTTGTTGCTATGAGGAGACTCCTAAACCGAATACACCTTCATCTGTATAACAAAGGTCAAAGAACCTCCGTTGTGCACGAGATTTGTTGCGAATGCTGATTCAACTATAGAAAGAGTTCAGCCCCCATCCCATTCTATTCTGGGTGAATTGAGCCGTCAAATCGAGGAGTGGAAAGCGTGTCTCCCAGTCGCGCTCCAATTCGAGACCTTCTCGCTTGTCGAAGAGGTCAGGCTCCTTTCCTCGCATCCAGTCAGACCAATGCAACAAAGGTTGAGAGGACACCTGAAGGCACGCTATTGCGCTGCAAAGACGATCCTCTACCGTTCTCACGTGCACCGCTGTCTACATGCCTCGGCAATCTCTGCTCTATCCGACGAAGACATGTTAGGCGCCAAGGTAGCGGTTTCCTCTGCCATCATTGGGGTATTGCATGGTGGGATTCTCCAGGAGCCATTCGGGCTCCTTCTCTTCCCCATCAACTCTTGGAGAACGTAAGCATCCAGTCACTCTTGATGACCGACGACCGACTAGCTGATGTGCCTCATAGTCTTTTCGGAATCGAAATTCAGATCAAGTTCATCCTACGCAATGAAGAGCTGTCTAAAATCCTATTGCCGGAAGGCTGGGAAATCACACACCAGGCTCGAGAAATGGCAGCCGGAGCGGCGTCTCGGTTTTCGCCAACGATTGCGAAGGATTGTGAGATTCTTCGCATGCTGTCTTGATCAAGGGAGATGTATGAATCATCCAGAACAGAAATAACCGCAACCAGCGTGTCATAGTTACCAACAGCTACTCTATACCCGGTTCGTGACCTCAACTCAATGAACCCACTGGAAAGCATTCGCCGACCGGAATCTGGCGCCCAGCCCTTCCTCCCTAGAATCCCTTGCCGCACTCACCCTGAGCTCCGCGTTGGCCTCCACCACCCACTTCTGAACGCTATCATCCCAGTATGATATGCTCACCTTGTCGAGAGTCGTCCGAGCGGTCACTGTCTCTCCGGGCCGTACGAGAACCTTGTTCCAGCCCTTAAGCTCCTTGAGCGGGCGGCCCAGCCGAGGCTTCGACACAGGAGCGACGTAGAACTGCACAATCTCTCTGCCTTCGCGCTTGCCCGTGTTCGTCACGTCAACTTCGACTTCAATCCTTCCGGTCTCCTCTAGTACGTCGGCACTCAGTCTTAGGTTGGAGTACTCAAAGGTGGTGTACGAGAGACCAGCCCCGAAAGGGAACAGTGGTTCGATCTTGCGGTGATCGTAGTACTTGTACCCAAGATAGATGCCCTCTCCATAGTGAACCACGTCGTTCTCACCGGGATAATTGTCGAATGATGGCGTGTCCTCAATGCGGCGCGGGAATGTGATTGGAAGCTTCCCGCACGGATTCGCCGCCCCAAGGAGGACGTCCGCCAAGCTGTTACCCAGCTCTTGACCTTGGTACCAAGCTTGAATGACAGCCGGGACCTCTTCAATCCAGGGTATCGTGATGGGGCTTCCCGTTTGGTTTACCACGATAACGTTGGGATTCGCCTTGGCCACGGCAGAGATCAGCTCGTTGGACCGGCCAGGCAAGTCCATGGACACCATGTCGCTCGTCTCCGTCTCCCAGTCCTGGTCCTTTCCTACAACGATGACGGCAACATCACTCGTCCTGGCAAGCTCGATGGCGTTTTGAAACATTGCGTCAAGGTCTCCGGGGTTCTCTAGGAACCCGATGCGACCGCCATCTTGGACCTCCTCACGCTCCAACATGCCCATGTATGTCAAATCATACGGCTTCGGTTCGCGGCTGAGCGATTCAAGCACAAGTTCATATGATCTACCAGCTTCGAGGGCGACATCGACTCGCTCCTCGGGTGAGCCGTAGCTCATGAAGAGAGATGACTTGGGCGACCACCACCTCCGCTCGATATCAATAATGACCTTTCCGTCGAGGATCAGCTTGCCAGGGCCACAGCTTGAGAGGGATAGCTGATGAACCCCACTCGTCTTTGGCGTGAGTATCGTCCTGGCACGGTAGGAATATCGCTCTCCCGTCGTCAGCTCAGGGGGGAGCCCATCGTAGCAAACCAGGTTCGAACTCGGCCGGTGCTCTACCATGAACCGGTCGCCTTCGTGCTTCATGTTTCTCCAAAGAGACAAAACAAATCCAGCACTGTTGGTTTCGGGGTTTTGCATGACAGTAGGGTCCATGAGAGGTAGGTATCGATGCGTAAGGATTCCGGGTTCAGTTGCAACCTTGGCTGTCGGGTACGTCTCAGAGAGCTCCCTTTTGAAAGATTCAAAAGGTGTGGTACGGTAGTGAGGCGCGAGGTTGGAGCTACCACCTCCCGTGGCCACCGATCTGGCGGCGTTGGGGCCGATGAAAGCAATGGTCTTACCACTGATATCTGTGAGGGGTAAGGTCGACTTATCGTTCTTCAGTAGAACAATGCCTGCATGTTTCGTTAGTTGACTTCACTTGAGCATCTCTCTTGAATGGGCACAAACCTTCTGCACCTGCGCGACGCAGAATCTTCCGATGCTCGGGGAGATCAACGGCTCGCTCCGGCTCTTCCTTCCAATCTGGTACCTGGCTTTTGCCGGTCTTGTGCAGTAGCTCCAGGACTCTTGCAGCAGATGCATCAATGAAAGAGGTGTCAACCAGGCCTTTGCTATGTGCCTCGAGAAGGTGTTTGCCCCTTCGCCTGACTGGTCCAGGCATCTCCAGATCCAATCTGATTCTTCGTTAGTCAAATATTCGCCAAAGGCGGTGGCTTCTGATTCAAGGCTTACCCTGCTGTCAACGAAGGCACGATGCTATTCGTCCCAAACCAGTCACTCATCACCAATCCATCCCAGCCCCATTCGCCACGGAGAATGTCCCTGATGAGGTAGTGATGTGCTGAGCAGAAGTCGGCATTGATCTTGTTGTAAGCTGTCATGATGGACCACGGGTTACTATCGCGGACTGCAATTTGAAAAGGCTGCAGGTGAATTTCGCGTAGAGCACGCTCGGGGATCTTCTCGTCTATGAAGAAACGGCGATTCTCCTGGTCGTTTGCGGCGTAGTGCTTGACGCAGGCTCCGATACCAGCAGCTTGGATCGTGTTGATGTACTCGGCGGCCAGTTTGCCCGTCAGGAAAGGGTCTTCGCTGTAGGCTTCGAAGTTACGCCCGCCTAGTGGAGTACGAGGGATGCATACTATGCAGGTGTCAGACTGATACCAGGATCTGAGGCTTCCACTTGCAGTAGGCAAGACCTTACCTGTTGGGCCTAGAAGAACATCTACTCCTTTGCTCTTGGCTTCCGCTATCAAGATCTGTGAGACATCGTTGATCACTTGCTTATCCCACGTAGCAGCCAGCGACACCCTTTCGTGTTTGTCAGTCATGTCTGAATTCAGGCGGGAGCTGCTACAGTTACTCACCCAGACGGCAACGAGGCTGCAGTGACCCCATCAACAAAGATACCACCGCGAACTCCGGTAGGCCCATCAGAGGTCTTGATTCGGGAGATGCCCAATCTCGGGATGGGATTCGTCCGCCAGAGGTCTTCGCCTGTCAGTAGCAACACCTTCTCCTCGAGAGTCATATGTTTTAACTTTTCTCGAGAGAACGATTTCGCGTCTTGGGGTGCTTGAGGCACATTGATGCGCGATGCATCATGGTCTCGGCCTCGTTTCTCAGTGTCAAACATGTTGCTAGTAAGTGATGGGTTTAAGGTAGGAATTGAGCGTGAGCACTAAGGAAACTGAAGTTAGAGATGATCCCTTTGCGTGCCTCCAAGAAACCAATGAGTTTAACAGACCCTCGCCCAGGTTCAGAGTAGGGGCTCATTTATAAGCAGCGAAGATTGACTTCCTTATGAGTATAAGCCAATGCAGGAGACTTAGGGACAACGCATGCTAGGCTGGGTTCTGTAATGCCTATCATCGGACCGAGTCCGTTTCTCCCCGGCAGGATTAGTTGCAAATCGCCAAGCAGCATTCGTACAGCTCCCGACGTGTCGGGATGGGCAACCATGCGGGTTAGACTCCCGACCCCACCAAAGACGAGGGGCACGGAGTCAGTCCGTCTCTCCCCGCGCCTACGTGACACCCTTGCCGTTTTGGGGAATAGCCTCGTCCCTCGAGAACAATGCCAAGACCTGGGGAACCCTCCCCCGCAGAGCCGATCCGGGGTCGGACTCGAACGGAACCAGATCATGGGGTCAGGTTCGACGCCATGTCGTATGTTACCGGGTAGAGCTTATCGAGCCTAGATTCTACTTGCTCGAGGAAACATTCCTCCTTGAATATGTCTGTTGGTTGGCGACTATGTTAGATCATGGCTGTCATACAGCATAAATAGACCCGCGAAGCCCGGGTGAGGAAGTCATCATTCTCACAGCCATCTTCATCTATACTGGCCTTTGAATGTCCAACAAGATGGACTCCGAGTCTCTGCCCCCGCGGGCCCAGACCGTGGAAGAGATCCTGGCCTCAGACAACCACTCTGCCCTCTCCTCCCTCACTCCATCCCTCATCCGCCTCTACAGTATCCTCGCCCCAGCCTGCCTCGTCGTCTGCGCAACAAACGGCTACGACGGCTCCGTCCTGACGGGCCTCCAAGGCGTCGCCGCCTGGAACCGCGAATTCGGAAGTCCCAAAGGCGCCCTTCTCGGCTTCACCAGCGCGGCCTACCCCCTCGGCGCAATCATTTCCACCCCCTTTTCCGCCTTCGTCTCGGACCGCTTCGGACGGAAATGGTCCATCCTCACGGGTAGCAGCATCATGATTATTGGCGTGCTGATCCAGTGCCTCAGCCACTCCATCGGACAATTCATCGGCGGCCGCATCGTCGTCGGCTTCGGCATCACCATGGCCCTCGCCGCGGCGCCGGTGCTCATCTCGGAGCTCGCGCACCCAAGGCACCGCGTGTTATTCGGCTCGCTCTATAATACCAGCTTCTACCTCGGCGCCCTCACGGCGGGGTGGGTGACGTTTGGGAGCTACCGCATCGCCGGTTCGTGGGCGTGGCGGCTTCCTACAATGTTGCAGGCGCTCCCGGCGGTCATCCAGATGGTTTTCGTCTGGTTCCTAGACGAGTCTCCTCGTTGGCTTTGTTACAAGGACCGAGATGACGAGGCATTTAGCATCCTTGTGAAGCATCACGGGGGTGGGGACCCGTCCGACCCGCTGGTCGTTGCAGAGTTCCACGAGATGAAGGTGGCTTTGCAGCTGGAGAAGCAGGTCAAGGATGTAGGACCAAAGCTCTTCTTCAAGACACCGGCCAACAGGAAGAGACTCTTAATTCTCCTTACTCTCGCCGTGTTCGGCCAGTGGAGTGGTAACGGTTTGGTGTCATACTACTTGACAAAGATATTCACCAGCATCGGCATCACTAGCCAACGCGAGCAGACCATGCTCAACGGAGTCATCAGCACCGTGAACTACGCCACGGCTCTGTTTGCGGCAGCGCTTTCAACTAAGATCGGCCGCCGGTGGATGTTTGTCGGAGGCGGCATTGCCATGTGGCTCACCTTTTCGTCGCTGACGGCCAGTATCGCGGTGTACAACACAACGGGCACTACGGCTGCTAGCCAGGCTGCGCTCGCCTTCATCTTTATCTTCTACGCCGCCTTCAATATCTGTCTCAACCCCTTGCTCTTCCTCTACCCCACGGAGATTCTTCCGTTTAGGCTTCGGGCTATGGGTCTTAGTGTCCTCGTCTTTGCTAACAAGGCCGCGTCGTTCTTCAACCAGTTTGTCAATCCAATCGGTATGGACTCTCTGGGTTGGAAGTACTACTTGGTATATGTGGTGTGGCTTGTGATTGAAGTGGCCGTCTTTTACTTCTTGTACCCTGAGACCAGAGGCCACAGCCTAGAACGCATGCAGGAGGTATTTGGGGAAGAGGTGAAGGATGATGGGCTGGACGAGAAGGGCTCGGTAGCCAAGGATATGAGGGTCATAGAACACAGGGAATGAATGAAGTCGTGGCAGCCAACGACAACCTGTCAAACATCACGCCGGTTTCTGTACATGTATACTCGTGATGATATGTGATGTTCAATTCTCAGTATTTCAGGTAATTTACTTAGTTCTCTGTACTATAGCACACTTCATCCAGGCCGAGCAATGAAGCTGAACAAACTGAAGGGGATGAAGGGCGATGATAGGTCTCGAAGAGGTGATTGGGAATGATGACTATCTCTGAAAGGCACTCACTCCTCTCATACCTGCGGGTGTCAAGGTCAAGGTTGATCATTATCTTCTTGGAGTTGGCAATGCCGGCGCTGAGGTGCAAAACCTGGTCAAATATTTTGCCATCATAACGGCCAGTCAACCGCAAGACAAAACGCGAAGTTACGTGCCACTCGAGCACCCATCTCAGAATAAGCTCAGAGCAAGCCCAAACATTCAGAATAAGAGCCATCCTTGTAATAATCAATGCCAAAAAACGCAAAATGAAAGGGACGAGACTCGAACTCGCGCGGGTTGCCCCACCAGGAAACAGATGTTAAGCTGACCTTAACCTGGCGCCATAACCAACTCGGCCACCCTTCCGTGACGATGCTCGCTCCGAGGAAGGTCCTCGATGCGATTGCGGATACCGGTGAGAGCCGGGGAAGTTATTCATATTCCGGGTTGTGGTTGAGTGGGAGTTTTGTGTGCGGGTGGGCGGGCTCCGTCAGGGCTATGGAGCCAGGTTGAGAAGTGATCCACCGGCGGGCGGAGGGGACCATGTGAACATGCAATGCGAAAAGTGTGTTCCGTAGGAGATGACACTCCCGAGACGATGGCGTTGACGCGGCGGCTCCGGAAGCGCGCGGGAAGAAGCTTCGGCATCCCGTCGAGGCCCGCGGCCGTCCTGGGAAGAACCTGGGCGCGACGTCACGGTGCGAGAGGGCTACGTTCATGCCAGCGGGCGGCCTCTGTAGTACATTCTGTATATCGCGAACGCAGCAGGCTGTGTGAGAATGCGCCACTATCACCTGTTGGATATCGCGATATCCTCACGTACATCTTGAACTGTTGGCTCATCTAGAGATGCAGTCAGTCAATGACGTCGAATAAAGCTCCCAACAGCGTTTGGTTGACGAACAAAGCCGTTGGTCCGTTGCGGCTGAGACCCGACGGATGGGGGATACTTTCCGCCAATGTGCCCGCCAAACCGCAGCCGGTTCACAACGTGCCAAATGCACAAATTAGGGGAAATGTCTTGGCATAAAACATGCAAAAGTCGAAACGCTGTTGGTGTGCGCAAGTGAGGCATTGGAGGAATGCACACACGACGCAAAGTCCTTATTCACCAGCTGGTCATCACAACTCCAGGAAGCACCCTATGTGGTATAATGTTCATCGTGCCGCTATCCGGCATAAACAATGCTGCGGAGTGCAATTGCATCACGAGAACAAGGCCCGCAGAAACGTCAAAAGTCTCGTCCCGCCGCGCCCCGAAATACAGAGTTGCCAAAAATACCCGAACAAGATTGACTATTTAAGAGTCTGGGAGGAAACCAATATTGGCTGGCAGAGACCAAGTTAGCAACTGGCAAATCGTACAGTATGCACTAGGCACGCAAACCCGGCCCTGCATCTTGAATTCTTGGATGATCACCAACAAGGTCAGGGCATGCCCGTGGCCGCCGTAATGCACTGCCACTCGCCTTTCCAACACTATTGAGTATTGACTCTTTTAGTGAGAAAAGCCAAGTTTTTCTCTCTTCTTCATCGAACCGGTCATTCGTCTCTTTCTTTATTGTTTCTTTTCGTCTGGTCTCATTTGATCTGATCTGACCAATGCCAAAGTAAACAAATCAGACTTTTCTCTGAACGAATGGGATGAACATGCATAAACCAGAATAAACAACGGACGCGCGTTCTCCACTCTCAGCTCACCCCCTTCCAAGATTTTTTTCCTCACCTTCTTCCTGATCCGGTCGGTAACCTGTGCCGTTGAACTCTGTTTGCCCGTCTTGCGTCTAGCGCCAGGTACAGCAACCTCATGATTCGTCGCGTACCTGGATTCGCTCCGCTGACGAGTCTGCATTGGAGAGATCGTTTGTGTCCAGACGGAGGTAACACGATCGGGGTTTCCAGAAGTTTTTGCCTCCGTATGAAATCGCGCTCAACTACCAGTGAGCGAATGAGTTCACACACATCCCAAGCCTGCCGAACAACGGCGTCCGACGGCGCGACACCGAACACGAAGCCGTCTCTTCCCGTCACCAGTTTTCCAGATCATGTTGCGAGTTCTCTTACTCGGGTCCAAGCTCTAAATTTAGCTTGCCACTGCGCCTGGATATGTGGGAATGCGTTTCCTCTTTCGTCCACTCTCCCAATACCCACTCTCTACCGTGCATCAGTGTGAGCTCGTATGAATACACAGTCCTCTTTCTCCCGAGTCTCGAATCTCTCTCTCTCTTCCAGAGTTTCTAACTTCTCCAGTCTCCTCTCGCTTCCTCAGCGGGGACGTGACATCCCCTGATCAGGAGAAGGAAATATGAACCAAAGAGAGAAACGGAGCCCGTTCGACGGTCCAGACCTCGTATGCCTGCCAACAACCCAGGTGCCTATACCAAGTGCGGCCTCCTCGACGGTGGGGATTGATCAGCACCATCTCATTTCCCGACGTCTGGGGGGTGGGATGCCAAATGGGTGGTGGTGGTGGTGGTGGTGACCATGGGGGTGGATGGGAGGGAGGCTCCTCTTGGCCGGCTTGGCTGCCACCGCGCTTGGCCCAATTACATCGTAAATCGAGGCCGGGCAATGGGTGTGCGGCCCGCAGCACACCTCTACCTTGAGGCTAACCGAACCGATTCGTTCATTTGCTCGGGAGGAACAGCTCGAGCCCTGTATGACGCGATTAGACTGCTGAATACTCACTGCTATGAATCTTCACACACTGAACGGTGGGGAGTACTTTGAGTATGTCACATAGAAAGATATTCGTCAAGTGTCACAGAGTCACCGGGCATTTGAAATGACAATGAGTGTATGGATTAATCACATTTTTTCTCCATCAGTCTATCCTCGATCTATCCATGATTATGATACCGAAAAAAACACATGTCCAGAAGGGGGAATCAAAAGACACCTTGCCAATGCGCTAGAAAAATTTGACCACAAGACGAGTGAGTGCACTACTCTCCTCGCGCCTCTTAGTAGAGGAGGGCGAAAGCGCCGGCAACGACGGCCAGAGCACCGGTGGTGAAGGCCTGGAGGCCGGCGGCGCCAGAGCCAGCAACCGCGGAGGGCGTGCTGCTGGCGCTGGATCCAGAGCCGGATCCGCTGCCGGAGGAGCCGGAACCGGAGGTGGCAGAGGGAGCGGCAGTGGAGACGGTCGAGTTAGAACCGCTGCCAGAGCCGCTTCCAGAGCCGGAGCCGGAGCCGGAGCCGCCGCTGGTGCTGTTGCCGGAGCCAGAGCTGGCGCCAGAGGAAGCGCTGGGCTTAGCGGTGGCAGTACCGGAGGCAGAGGCGGTCTTGGTGCTGGAGGGAGTGTCGAAGGTGGTGGGGCAGGTGAGGTTGAACAGAGGGGTGGTGGACAGGTCCTTGGTGATGGCGAACTTCATAGAGTTGTCGGGGTTGGAGTCGCGAAGGTTGTACCAGAAGGTGGGGACCTTGTTGAAGAGCTTGCGGCAACCGACCTCCTGCCAGTACTTCTGAGCGTTCTTGGCGCTGGGAACGGCCTGGTCCCAAGTCTCGCCGGTGACGGGCCAGCCGGTCTCGGTGACCCAGACGGGCTTGCCGCCAGCGGTGGCGACGGTGGCATCGTAGGCCTTGTCGAAGAGGGAACCAGCGTTGTCGATGGTGTTGCCCTTGTCGTTCTCGTAGTAGGGGTACTCGTCAACACCAACCCAGTCAACGGCGTCGAGGACGGGCTTGTTGGTGGAGTTTCCCCAGACATCCCAGGTGTCGACGTGGCCGATGGAGACCTTGGACAGAGGGGTGTCCTTGAAGGCGGTCTTGAAGTCGTTGATGAAGCCGACGAGGGTCTTGGGGTCCGCACCGACACCAGACTTGTTCTTGACACCGGTGACGGAGTTGCGGTACAAGTCCTCGGAACCGATGGAGGCACCGATGATGAGGTCGGTGAGCTTGGTGCCGTACTTGGTGACGGCGGTCTTCAGGGCATTGATCTCCTTGTCAATGTTGTCGGTGCCGGAGGTCCAGATACCGAGAAGGATGTAGGTCTTGGTCTCGATGGCAGCCTCGAAAGCCTCAATGGGGTCCTGGGTGGAGTAGGCCTGGATGTTGGTGTAGAGGCGGACGGCGTTGAAGTCGCCGGGAGCACCCTCGAGGCCCTGGGCAGTCTTGAACTCGGCCTCGAAGTCGGCCTTGAACTTGGCGGAGCGGTCGGCCTTGGTGGCACCAGAGTTGAAGCCGAGGTAGTTCTGAGCCTCGACGGTGGCCGCCAGGGCAGTGAGGGCAGCGAGAGAGATGGAGGCCTTCATTTTGATTGGATTAATGCGTTAAGAAACGGTCGAAATAATAAAATCGTCGAGCAGAGGAAAAGGGTCCCAGGGTGGTAATTAAGGGCGGACTGGGAAAGACCTTTTTTGGCGTTGTTCCGAGACTCTTTGGCTGTGACTATAATAAACAAAAGAGTGTAGTGAGTTGGTGGTTGTCGTGGACCAAAAAGAATGACTGGGAAGAGTGAAAGAGTGAACAGGTCCAAAGGAGGAATCGACAACGGGTGGGACAAAGATGTCTATAAAACACAAAAGGAGGGAAGACGGGGGTCACAGTCAAAAGAGGAGTGGAGTGAAGGAGGAGAGAGAAGAAAAGAGTGGAGGAAAACAATGACGGTCGTATTGGCACGTCACGAAATTAAGGAGAGCCCGGGGGTACGGGGTACTTGGGTACCTCACTTGCATATGTACATCACGTGAGGGCACACCACACCGCACACCTACGCAGTAAATCCCAGGGGAGACTCGAAGACCTGACCTTCAGGGCGGTAGCTCCACCGAGGTGTCCAAGTTTGTTTTCCGGGGCTGAATCGATACGTGGATACCTGGCAATCGAGGCCTGGCAAAGTTGGAACCTGAGGTGGCAGTGGATGGGGGGAAAAAACCAGGCACCACCAGGCATGAGTAGGTACATCGGGTAGGTACCTGGCATTAGCAGCCAGCCCGCTGGGGCCGCCTCCACTTGTGCTGCCACTTGCGCTGCCACTTGTGCTGGAGGGCACCTGAACTTCCTCAATCCTCAAGGACCTGAAGATCTCTCAGCCAATGCATGCACCTGAAGCGTCCCCATTGGACGAACCAACGCTTTGGCTGACGCAGGGGGAACTTGGTGGAAAAGAACGGACCATGCATTGACACCGAATTGCTCCTTCTTCGCCGATGTGTCCCATCATCTATGCATCTCTGCCTGCATCTTTCGCTGTCATCAGCCCGTATAACGTACCTCCACTGACGGATATTCAATATTTATTCTGTGCGCTGTGCCTGGACTCCCGCCCATTGTCACGCCTGCATGCATGACGCTGTCCACTCAACATTCTCTCTTGACTATTCTCATATCTACACTGGTAACTGCATCGATCCCTTGGTGACGCCGGACAGCCGAAGCCTGGACCGCCAATGGACACGGCCACGCAGTAGATACGCACAAATAGAGCACAACCCAACGCCACTACGCGATCGCCAACATTCCTCTCTCGTGTGAGCTGCGTCAGTCTTTGCCAGGACCCTACCCGCTTGCCTGATCATGGGTGAGACATTCGGAATCAAACCAGCTCATGTCTTGGGTCGGTGCAATGTTCCAAGAAGAAACAAATCTAACAGCTGAATCCGCCACCCCGTCCGCCATGGCGCCATGCGCGCTTAGCTAATCGCCACATCATGCACGCCTTAGGGAGAGATATGCAAGGATATGCAAGCATTCTGCACTACTTCAACGACCATATTGAATGATGTGTACGTAGTAATAGCATGTGAATGTTCTCTATAACGGCTGTTTCCTATACGCTATGTCGAGCATACCCAGGGTCTATGCATGATGGCTTCTTTCAGGTCGAACTCCAGAGGCCAAGCTCCCGGCCCAAGACATGGTCGCAGGCCTCAAGCATCTACTTGCATCTTGAAGTCGAGGATTCTTCAAGTCTCGAAAAGGCCAACCGGACCATCTTCCCACTCCAACCACCTCTCCATACTCTGGTACATCTTGCTGCAAGCCCTCTCGTCCTCTCCCGTGATAAGCTTGGCATCAATCTCGTAGCCCAAAGTACTCTGCGCAGCTCCGAGGTATCTGTATCCCGCAGGATACCTAGCCAGCACCTCGTCCGCGAAGACTGGTGCCCTGGCCCCATCCACGGGTACAATCTTGTCCTTTTCATATATAAGTTTGACGTACGCAGCTTGCCAGTATTTCTCATCCCTCTCGATGCCATCACCTCTCTCTCCCTTCGTCTTCTCATAGAAAAAGAGGAACCGACAGTCACAGTCGACGTCGTACTCGTAGCCGTCGTGGTGCTTGAAGCGTTGGGTAATGGTGGCCTTCATCTTGCCCACGGCGCGGCCCGTATCTGGTTTCAGCTCAACAAGAGTGCCGCATTCACGGTGCATGATGGAGGCCCCTGACGACTTGCCCGCGATGGACATGCGAATGAAGTCGCCAATGGGCTGTGCGCCGCTCCAAGCTGTGACATGCCATATGGCGTTAGCTTCAGGGGCAAGCAAGATACTTCTGAGAGTAGAAGCATCGTGGGAAGGGCCTTGGTGATTCAACGCACTGGTCCAAACGTAGGCATCCTTGGTGAAGAGGGAGCGGTAGTTGGCCCATTCGCTTGCATCGCGGTAGACAGGCCAGCCTTTGCAGAGCTCAGAAACGGCGAGACGGTCGAGGAGTTCGGTGGAGTTACCTCCGATGTGGGAGAAATGGCGGGTATGTAGGTCTGTCATTGTTTGAGAGCTGATGTAATGAAATGATGCTTCAATAGGGGTCTGAATCTCTGCAAAGCCGTGGTGAAGTCGTGGCTGAGGTCGGGGTGACTATCGTAGTATGGCAAAATGCGAGTGTTATGATTGAGACGAGGAGAATTAACATGTCCGCTCTGGGTACGTAGGCAGGTAGATGTAACAGACCTTCCCAATTCAAATGCTAGTCCCTACTTCAATGTAACAGCTTTGCTTCCCCTATTCATCCAGGCAAATCAGAGCATCGTCACACTTCCGAGGTCCGTACCTCCACCAGCAGAGCAGCTACAAACGTGAAACCACGTGGAAACGAATCGTCAGAACCAGCAAAATTCTCTGAATCAAAAACCTCAACAGAAGTATATACAAAATGTTGAAAAAACCAAAAAACGAACAGACCGGGGGGTCTGTTCAACGCTCTTTGCCTGCAAGGGGCTTCGAACAAGAGCGCTCGCCAGGTTTCACGGAGGACCTGCTAGCACGAGTATATTTTTACCCTGTCCGCCACCCAATTGAGCCACGCACTCAATGACGTGTGGGTGTCCGCTGATGGGAGGATCAGTGGCTCTTTCGAATAAGTAAGGTAGGAGGTGTCGGCTTGCGGGAAGGAGAGGACGGGAAGGAGAGGACGGGAAGGAGAGGACCTTGGTGCCTTCCTCGTAGATGTCTAACCTTGCCGGGACGGGAAAGCACCTTGGGCAGTCCCGGGCACATATTCACGAGAGCTTCGCGGAGAAAGAAGCAAGACCTTGAGGGCCAGGGAAGGTTCCAGAGACGGCAACGGTCTTTGATTCTACTCCATCTACCTCGCCAAGACAGTCCTTCCTGTTATCTATCCCATATCAATTACCCTTGATATCCAGCAACTCCAAGCTCTCTCAGACAAATGCAAGAATGAGATTACTGGCGACGCTCTCAAGTCCACTTCTTCCATGGAACATTCAGAAAGATGAGGACCACCAGCAGAACAACCAGCAGAACCAGGGGATACTTACACCACTGGACAGATGCCGCAGGGCCACCCCCATGACAAACACACGTCTTCATATCCAGTGTTCCCTTCCGCTGGAGTCTCACGCGCTTTAACCCACGACTCACACTACTATCACTACCGCTCCCACTCTCACTCTCATCCTCCGCATCAGTCCCACGAACCGGCCTATACACCTCACCCTTCCACCATCGCAGCGGCGGCGAAACAGGCAACCCAGGAGAATACATAATCCTCCTCAATTTTGACACCCCTCCTCTTCTACCAACAGCAATCGCAAACCCAGCCCGCCCAGCAACGGGTGTACTGGCAGGCGTCCTCGGAATACCCACAGTACCAGGACTAATCCCACCACCAGGCGTCACCGCGCCGGGGCTATCTTTCGTTCGCTCCAGTTCGGCAACCCCCCAATATGTTGATGCCGGCGAGTCCTCCGTCGAGGGGTACGGCGACTTGTTTCCCCAATCCTGATCCGTTCCCCAACCCCGATCCGCTGTTTCCGAGAACGATTCATCGGGAGTACGCTCTAGAACGGTATCCCATAACGTTTTACATGTCGACACTGTCGCGGATGGAGGGCTCACGGGAAACGTCGGGGTATCGGCGGAGTCCGGGGACGCTATTGTCGAAGGGGTCGGGGGAACCGGGTGGTCTGGCGTCCAGGGCGCGGGGCTGCGGCCGGCGAGGAGAGGACTGTTTGCGTGGCGGCGGATGCGAATTGGGTTTGGGGCGCGGCGGCGGCGGGGGGAGGAGACGTACATGACTATGGTTGTGAGAGATCTGAAGGACTGGTGAAGAGGTCTAAAGAGATTTAGGCTGGATTAGGGGCTGGGAATTGAGAGAAGAATCTGACTGGAATGAATGAAGAGAAGAAATGTGACTGATTTGTAGATGCTCAAGATGAGTAGAAAGACTCTTCATAGGACATGACTTATATAATATGCCACATCACAAAAGTCGACTGCGAAGGAGCGCACGAGGAGTAAGGGACACTTAAAATGATTGTTTGTAGCTCCCTCATCCGGCACGGTACCATCATCAGTCAAAGAAGCTCGGCCGGGTCGTTTGTCTCAGGTGCTAAATCTGTAGAAGTGAGGGGCTTGGTTGTTGCTCAAGGTCTTGGGGCATGAAACGAAAGTCTTCCATCAACCATGCCCCAACTGAACATGCAAATTGACAGTTGCTGGATATTAATTCATGCTTCGCAATTATGTGCTACTGCCGTCAGTCTCGAACTCATGGCTGGGCTGGGCTGGGCTACGACATGTGTCTTGAAGAGACGTATTGCCTTCCAAGTATTGATGAAATAGTAGTGCAGCATACGAGCGACCTATGAGGTCTACCAAGCTTCCCGAATGTTATTATACATACGTCTTATTTACATCAACATGCTGCTGCAACATGTCCGAACCAAAACCAAACATGACAAACACCATAAAGCACTACTCATGTTGCATTCTAAAGCTCAGCATAACCTGAAGGACCCATCTCTTCGAGCAGCTGCGGCACGGTCTTCCGAACCAGATCCCAAGCCCAGAGCTCCGTGTTATTGAACGGCATCTTCCACTCACCCAGCACAAAGTTTGAGCACAAGGGGCACTTCAGCTCCCTCGGGTCGAATTTCGATCTGCGGCGATGGGATTTCATCCAGCAGTTCTTCCCCACCACGTGGTTCTCCGAGGGGCATTTAACGCGCACAGCTGCGTGCGGATCTCGCCCTGTACCGAGAGGCTCCATACAGATAAAACAGTCCGTGTCGTCCAGTTTCCGAAGCTCCGCCTCCCTGAGCGGTGCGACCGCACTCTCGAGGAGGCTCTGTCTGGAGAACTCGTCTTTAAACCTCAAGGATGCGTTGCGTAGGAGGATATACTCGGTATGCTTGTAGTGGCCAGGGCTAGTGAGCATGCCACCTGCGTACGCACCACTCCGGAATCCAATAGAGCCCCTTTGGGTAATGGACACTACACTCCACTTGAACAGGCTGACAAATAGTGTGCCTAGGTCTTGGGGGAGGTTGGCCCTCATGACGTCTGTGTCGACGTGCCAGAATTCTAGGAATATTCGGCTGATGGAAGCGATTCGTGCCCTCGTCAGTCCTGGATCGTGGGCCAGGAGATGCGCAACAAGGTTGGAAACTTGCATGCGCGTATCAAAGTTGGCGGCGACAAAGTCAGCGAACAATGGTGCACGAAAAGAGTTGATTAGAGAGCGTTCCCACTGGTCTCTCCCGCCGAACGAATCGATTTTTTCCGTCAGTTGAGCCGTAAGAACTCTTACTCGGTCCATGATATCAGGGGCGCTTTTCAGAACAGGCACAACCGTGACTTGCTCGCTTTCGTGAGGCTTACGGTCGCCAAGGTTGATTAAAAAAGTGAAGTCGGGCTGTTGACGGTGGGATTCAGTGTGCTGTTCGACAGATGGAAAATCTGGATCGAGCTCTCCATCGTTGGCCGGCCTCCGGGTGTGGGCTAACAATCGATAATTAAATTCATCCGCGAGTCGATTGCCGGTGTTGGCACCGGACCAGAACCCTCGCCAAGGGAAGAAATATGATTGGGAGACAATCCGCCGCATAGCCGCAGCGTTGTTGTGAAGCTCAGTGATCCTGTTTGTATCGAACTCCTTGGTGGCATCGTCTGTTTCTAAGCATTCGCAGTAGGGACCATTTTCGACATGGTCTTTGTTGAAGCGGCAGGCTGTCTCGATTTTGCTGACTCGATTGACAAATTGATCATCCGCATTTCCTTCAAACCTAGTCGGAAGTCGCTGTCCCGCATCCATCAATGCCATATTGAGGAATTCGACCATGGATTTGACATATTGCTCCGTAGCTGCTTGTGCTTCCATGCAATTCTCATCAACCATGCTCTCGGTAAGTCGTTTCGGTTTGGTGAAGGGCTGAAGGAATTTGCCGGTGCATTCGTGACAGGCGATATCATATACCTCGGATTGCTTGGCCAGAGCCTTCGGGTCTAGACACTCGGCGTATCTCGGGCTGGCGCATCGAATAATGTACTGGAAGGTATGCCGCGAAAACCTTCCCCCCGGAAAACATCTAAAGTTTCTCGTGAGAAGGATACACATGGTAAACGTGAGGGTGGCGACAATGTCGAGCAGTCCGTCAGCAAGACTCAAAGATTAGCATAAAAAGGACAAAAGTGTCAAGCCAAGGGTAGTCTGGTTGTTTTGTCTCTTTAAGAAGGATAACGGTGATGACATGGTATAGCCATAAGTTGCTGGGCTGAGCATCCGGCCCGTGGTCTGAGAGTCGAGAGAACCTCGAGTCATATTCAGGCATTGCTACTACATTAAGGGAAGTCAACAAAGGCCAACAACTGCCCCTTTCTTTGACACTTTGAAAAGTAGTAGGTGATACCAAACATCCCGGTTGGGAAGATCTAGAGCCGTCGACATTGGCGGTCGGTTGCGGCAGCAGAACTATTCGAACTCGTCAAAGACAATGCGAGTCCAAAGGGAGAAGTCACGACTTTTGCGTATTAGTGGAAAATGACAATAGCAATGGCTCTTTCTGCCAAGTCACAGCACAATGCCCCCGGCGTAAGGAGAAGGTGCCCCTTGGGTTCTGGTCCGAGCTGCAAGACATTGTGCATGGAAGACACATGGCACTTGCTCAGAATCTCTTTCATGGTATCCAGGTGACGATACCACAGTTCCAAATGTCGTTTGGCGGCAGAGTGTGATGCCCAGTTGGGCCAAAGACGAGAGATTGTAGACGACTGCAGGATGCAGCTGCACGGCGGCTCGTGGTGTAGGCCGACTGGCTGGGAGACTGCTGCGAGTTCGCCCTGTCTGTTCGGCCCAGGACGGCCATTTTGATTGGTTTACTTCCTGATGAGGGAATCCTAGACGATTCAGGCCCAAGAAGCGAGAGGCTTGGCTGAAAGAACAAGAGTGATGTTTTCGTTTCGTAGTCGCAATGAAGAGGGTGCGATGGAATGGGTTGGAAAGGTGTACTTGAGGAAGAAGAGGCAGG